ATATCATAAAGCATAATAGGTGAACTGGCGGATAATCCCTAACATACAGACCAGGCGTCCGCAACACCTGATCAGGATCCATGCTGTTTGCTATCAGTTTCTCCACTTGTTAAGGGTTTGTAAGCGAACAGCGTGGATCCTGATCAGATTGCGCTGGATCCATGCTGGTCGCGTACACATTATGTTGGTTTTGTCATGGCGAGGCTCAAATGGTTTCAGAAACCTACCCTGTGCATTATAGGTTATGATCATAAGCAATATATATTCAAACTAAATAAAAGTAACCATCGGCTAATTTATTTGTATTTAGACATTGTCTATGGAAAATATAAATGAAATAAGGGTTTTATCGAATAAATAGACGTTTGATGTATTAAAACAAACGCGGCCGAAAGTTCAGTTTTGATATAGTCAACTGATTTATGTTGGAGTTGTGACACTTGCTTTTGACAAAAAAAATCGTATGTGATTATATCTGCATTTTGTAGGCTAGCGTTTTTGTAAAACAGTCGTGTACGGTATTATGTTATTTTCTTGTCAGAAAAAAATCTACGTATAAAATGTTGATGATGATGACAAGAACACAAATCTAAAAATGATGAAAAAATATTTGTGTTTTTTCAAATGAAAACATAATTTATCCAGCTTATTCTGGAGCTTAAAAATTACAAAGTTCTCTAAAGTGAGTACTTAAACATATGGTTTATAAATCACTTTACAATGCATACTTTCTAATAAATTATATTCTATGCCGTTTAAACCAAAAGAGGATAGAAATACAAAATCGAATTTAGCAATATTTAGTATAGCCGAAATATATTTATATTAATAAACTTTAGGGCACATGAAAGACGACAATGATCGTCTTAAGTAGTGCTAGAATTTTGCGACATGGAATACAAATGCACAATTAACAAATCATTTTAAAACAAATAGTTATAATAGATATGCATTTGAAGTATTCCTTGACAATAAACCATTAAATAAACATTACCGCTCCATTACGTAATGCTTCATCAAGATCCATTTATAACAATGTCATAGAATGAAAACAGTCCTTTTGAAAAGTAAAATGGCAATTGTTAGTACTTTTTAAATAGTTGAAATTGTTAATGTACATATGAGGTTTTACTGGCGCAATGTATATAGTTTACTTTGACTTTTAGAAATTTAAGAGCTGTTAGGAGAAAATGGTTAAAAAATTGTTCAGTTTCATGTACAAAAAGGAATTGTAACTATTAACTCGCATTGAAAAAGGCGACATATAGAGGTTACTTTTGTCGGCGGCGTCAGCAGTGTTAATTCCTATAAGTCGGATTGACTCCAAACTTGGTATGCATGCTTCTTACAATTACCCAAAGTACAGTGTACAAGAATTCTAAGGAACTGTCCCGTTACATTCATTTAATCATACACCAGTTTCCACATGACCATTTACAAAGTCAAATTGAATAATCCACATAGCTAAAGTTTAACTTTGTTATCCTGCAACATCTAACTATATGTTTCCAAAAACCTGATTTACAATAACCATCTTATTTTTGTATAAACTTCTTATGAGATACTAGAATTGTAGCGACAAATGTAAAGGAAATAGATTTGTTGTGAGCAATGCCAGATTCGAGTTCAAATGCTCAGAAGTATTATCACGAAGGCCGACAGTCCTGAGTGATTAATTACAATGCGACTGAGCTACAAACCGTGCATTTCTATACTATAAATAATGCAAGAAAAACTGGTATCTAGATGTATTTCAATTCTTTCATGCTAATAAAAAACAAAACTGATAAACAAAAATATGTTAGACTGCATTCAGCGTAGCTTCTTTTAGTCAATTGACGTCATCTGACTGTTTATAAGCAGTCGGTGTTTACGCTTTGCATTTATCGTGTAATAATGCACCTTTTGCCTATCTGTTTGATAAGGGAATAATTAAGTATTCAATAGCCTCTATTGACTTTGGGGTCACTAGTTCAAAGGTCAAGGTCAAATGGACCTTAAATGTCAGAATGGTGTCTGCTTATTATCTAGAAAACTATTTATCACAAAATCATGATATTTCACATATTAATTGGTCATAACTAGTACATGACCCCTATTGATTTTGGGGTAACTAGGTCAAAGGTCAAGGTCACAGGGGCCTTTAATGTCAGAATTGTTTCCGCCTTTTATCTTGAAAGCTGTTTATCACAAAATATTTAAATATAACATATTGAATAGTCATATATGGTATTGACCCCTATCGGCTTTTAAGTTACTAGTTCAAAGATCAAGGTCATAGCAGCCGTAAACGTAAGAATGGTTTCTGCTTATTACCTTGAAAACTTTTTATCGCAAAGACTTTATATTTCACATATTGATTAGTCATAATTGGGTCACTAGTTTAAAGATTAAAGTCTTTTTATTTCACATATTGATTAGTTATAACTAGTTGGTCATTATTTTACTTTTTTTTCCATAACTGAGCACTTCCATGTGATCATTTATGGCAAGTTTCTATAACAAAATTACCAATTATATGAGTGAAGGAATTGTAAGGGGGAATATGTATCGTTCGACATTTTTCGTTAATTGATTGATTGATTTTGGTATTAATTTTAGGTGAACATTAAAATCAAATTGAGCTTGTAATCAATTGCAACGATTACAGATACAATTTGTTTAAGTGATAACTCTTTATTACCAAGACATATAACAAGCAAGCGTGCCCAACAACTAATTTTAACAAGCAAAATGTCGTATAAGAAAATATTTAACATCTAAGCATTGTGGAGTATTGCAAAATTGTATAAAAATATTTTTTTAATAAAATAAAACAAAATAGTTATGGGTTTAAAAATATATGGACAATGACATTATGTATGTTCAATAATCAGAAGAAGAAAAAACGTTCAATAAAATCTATCTATGTTCTAAAAATATGATTGGGGTTAAAATGTATATTGACATGTCTTGATCCCCATAGATATTTTAGAACATGAGTATATTTGATATTTTATACAATTTTGTAACTTCAAGTGACTGTTTAAAGAAATACATAAACGCATTGAACGAACACATTACGGGACAGATTGAAATCATTACGGAACACATTGAACGTATTACGGAACGCATTGATGATATATTTTATTTTTAAACCACCTTCTATAGTCAAGAAATAAAATTCAATTTTGCAAAAGGTTTAGAGGTTATCAAGACTTTAAAAATTTTTCGATAAGTGATATGAAAAGAGTCAACGATTGACGTTAACATATTTGGAATAATTTAGAAACGACTGTGTCAAAATCTTCTAAACCACTTTTTGTCCAATTAATAAAAATAGAATACACGTTTTCTTAGATCTTATCATATCAAAGGTTACTCTGCTTTAGAGGTCTATGGATAAAAAAAGAAATAAATGGTTTAGTTTTAGGGTATACAACTCTTGAAATCTTCGTCAAAAAATATCTAATGAATTAAGTGCCAAATCAGTTCGTATGTACATTTTAAAGAACACGGTTTAGCTTTGTTAAATAATATTGATAAAGTAAAATATAAAACAACATAAATAAAAGTCATGAACAAAGTGAAATTTTTTCTTCAATTAAATATGCCAAATCTGATCGCCTTAAGCATAACTCGTTTTCATGATAGTGACATCATGCCCATCCGCGAAATTAGGAGTGATCTGTTCAAATTCAAGCGAAGAAACACAATCTGGATTTTAAACGATTAAAATGCTAGCGAGTTTTTCAAACTATTCAGTAAAGACATATACATGTTGTTTAGTATTTATTTGTTATTTTAATATCTTGAATATACAACTTATCGTTCGTGCAAATATCATCATCTTCAATACGTATATCGTTGTACTTGGTTTTTTAGTATTTTTCCTGGTAAATTTATGTTAGTTTCGTTTAAAGCAAGAAAAATGCATCTTAAGTACAACAGCAAACATAATTATAATCTTAAAACTATCGTTGTTGTCTCATTTATTGTAAACAAGTTTAAACAAGGAAATTCATTTATAGTCATACTGTTTTTTTTACTCCAAACAAGGGTACAATTATGTGGCCACAATGCAACATTGTTTAAGGATAGGAGTGACACGTTTATCCGTTCAAATAGGTGCGGTCGTTTTTTTTAAGCCAAAACCGGTAATAAAATGTTGGTAAACAATAAACTTGTTTAATAAAATTTCAACAAGTAAAAAAGTTAATATTGATTTTAAACATAGCATATGTGTATTTATCACACACCTTTGCCGATTTTGCGACTCCGTAAATATGGTATTGCACGGCCGTGCATATATTTTGACGTGACGTCATTAGCGTTATACAAACAAAGTGTAAAGACGCGCTAAATATTAGCGTTATACTATAGGCGCGTAAATGAAAAATGATTATTATTTCACTTTAAACGGTTTTAATTTTGGTATGTGATAAATAGAATTTTCCCACCAGTAAAGCTGGAACGTCGCCATATGACCTGTGATATGTGGGAGTGACGTTAAACCCAATCAAACAAACATACTAAGGCTTCTATGTATATATCAGTCAGTTTATAACAGTACATACATCTACTAGTGTCATAAAATTCCAGATTATATATACAAAAATCTAATTTCATGCCTGTTTTTAACTATATATTCGATGTTATACGATAATTACGAATAAAAAGCATAGCTTTCTTAAAAGTTTTCTTCAATAAGGCTTACCTTATGACATTGCTGAAGTCGGCGCATGAGAGGTTGGGGTTGAATGATGAACACAAATGCAATGATTGTTTTACTAAATGTTACTTATTTAGTCTCGATTTCATTGCTCTCTAAAAATCACTTTCATTTCATATACCGGTACTTAGAACTGAATATCAAATGTCTTGAGGGCTGCTCATTAGCTGAAAAATTGACTTGACTTAATGTGATCGATTTAATAGAAATAAGGTATTTTCTTTAATAATTTTCTTTATTTATTTTATGTATTTTATTTATTTTTTTTATTTTTTATTTTTGCTTACAGATATGCTTTTTGTTGTCGCCTTACAACGGTTTTAAAGACAAAATGTCCGTTTTCGTCGGGGCTCTTTTAGATGTCTCTGACTCTATGAAAACTAGTATTGGAGACGGTGTTGACGAAGAAGGCGGTACTTGGGTACATTCCATTTTCAGAGTGGTCGATGATTTAGTTCAATATGATGTCTCGGAATCCAATAAAATTTTTGTCGTCGGTGTTGGGGCAAAATACTCCCCGAATACATTTGATATAATAACCACAATTACAAAGTCATCAAAACCTGCCTCTGATACAACAATTGATAGAATTTTCCAGATTCTTGAACAAAACGGTGCACACACGGTCAGACAATGGGCAGATAAAAATACTGTGATGTCTGTGGTATTAGAATTCAAGGCACAGATAGTTTTAGAAAAGCTATCAACAGACGAAAAATTTTTACGAGAGTTTGTCAACGACTATTTACCAGCAGCTTGCAGGAGTTGGGGTAGCATTCCTGGTGCATCCTTAGCACAGTCAATGTTTGCAAGTGTTGTAACACCATTTCGGAAAGCATCAGAAGAAGAAATTGTAGAAATCATGGAAAAAGCTGTACCGAAACATACAAGCAATCAAAATATTGCAAAGGTTCTCCTAACAAGTATTACTGTCGAGGCAGTAAAGGATGTGAAAGAAGTTTCAGATGTTCTACATGGACGAATCAATAGACGAGATCTGACAAAGGCAAGAGTACGAGAATTACTTCAACTTATAGAACCATTTATATATGGATTGACACCCTTGCATTTTGCTCTTAATGAAGCAGCACAACTTTTCAGTACAATTAGACCATCGTACTTAAATCGTCATAAGTTACTCTTTGTTCTCTCAGATGGAGAACCTACAGATGAAGGCAAATCAGAAATCCTAAAATCAAGTTTTGAACGAGAGAGCGTCACGGTTGTTTGTTGCTTTATTTCAAAGTCATCTCACGTTAAACCCCGGAAGTTGCATAGCGTTTCTGAACATGATTGGGAAGATGGGGCAAAATTTCTGTTCAACCTTAGCTCGTACATTCCAACCTCAACAGTTACAAGAGCAATATTCATCAAAAACGATTGGCAGATTGACATAACTAACAATGAAACAAGACTTTTTATGCACGTGAACCACCCGGACAACTTAAAGGATGTGTGCAAATTAGCACGGAATGCAGTTTGCAGTCAAGATTCCTTATCAGAGTTGCTTGTGTCTGTCTCACTTGACATTTACATTAACGACAAAAACCGTTCAGTAGAAGTGTATGATCAGGGAAATGTAGGAACTTGCTATGCTCATGCTTCTGCTACTGTCCTACATCTGGCAATGCACCGGATTCTTGGACGTAACCATGGATATCCTACGTTTGAAGATCTTCGAGACGAAATGATCCGTAGACACGGTATACATGGAGCAAACACTTTGCAAGTGCTTCGAGAAATTTGTCCCAAGTATCGATTGCGTTGTCGGGAGGTTGACATCAATGGTGCAATGCAAGCAATTACAGAGAAACGCCCAGTCGTTGTTAAATTCCGGCTAACGGAAAGGGAATGGGTTACTTTTAAAGAATATTACCGATTGACACCTTATGGAATTTTGACGGAGCGAGATCTTAACATCAATATAAAAAGATCATATGACAAGAGATTTGGGCATGCAGTAGTTCTAACAAGTTTTAACAGTGAATGTCTACATCTTATGAATTCTTGGGGAGAAAGTTGGGCTGACATCGGTTTCTTTAGAGTAAAGAATGCAGACGTTCTCCAGATGGAATTCATCGATGTATACTGGGAAGAAAGGGATCTTTCCCAAAGCGAAAAGGACTATTACAAACAAAATGGAACTGAAGTGGCTGCTACTTTGATGAGGTCATTAAGAGCATTGCAGATGGCAACATTTACTTGTCCAAGATGTAAAAGGGAATCAAATGTTGACGACTTCTCCGGAACACTTACACGAGTCTGTTGTCCGCGGTGCGAGAATGGATTTTCTAGTAGTGATGGTGACGGAAATATTTTGGCGCTGAACATTTATTTGACATCATTAAGCAAGTGAACTGTAAATTGTAAAAACAAGACTAAATTATAAAAAATGAAACCACTTTGTTAAATAAAATAAGCTGTTCAATTGCAAGAAAAATAGAATAGCATATGACATCAAATAGGTAGGTGACAGAGAGAAAGAAGTTCTCTTCCTTTATTAGACCTGGTGGATGCTTAGCTAAACATAGAAAAGCATTTGTTTCAAATTAACATTCTTTCACTCTAAAATGAAGCGTATTATTTTTTTATTATAAACCTTATATTTCCAGATAGAATGTAAAGTGCTTAAAAGTAGCATGCCTCTTGATTCATAAAAAATCCAGAAGAAAAAACAATATTTTATAGACATACGTATAAGTTATCTATTCTTATACATAGAAGAAATAAGTAAAAAAATCTGATTCAAGGGCAGATTACTGGGAAGTGAAAACGGTGACCCCCAAATTTGTTTTGCTTAAAATGTTTTTGTTATCATATTCTAGCAAAATCCAAAGTTTAGAGAGATTCTATTGAACAGTTTCAATTTTGCCAATATGTCTATATGAAAACCCCCAAAAGTGACTTCAATGGACCATTAATAAATGGCTAGTTTTACAATTTAATTACAACTCTTTTATATTACAATTATTGGTGTGTTTTTTTTTTTTTTGGCACTTTGACATTGCATTCAAAATCAAATACTCTTACCATTTTGAAGGTACTGTTTAATTAAACTTTGGCTATGACTAAGATAGAGAAAAAAGAGTCCTTTATGACCCTATCCTTTCTAAATCTTACTTAGGGAACAACTCAGGCAATGTTTATTTACCAGGGTTATCCAGTGCAAACAACTTCAAGTTTGCGTGTAAGCGTTTTTTTTTTTGTTTTTTTTTACTTTTCTACAATATATAACATAAAAGCTTTTTTGTAGATATCTTTGTTCATATTGACTGATATCAAAAACATAAAATATTCAACTATATTAAAACATAAATTGTAATATAAGTTCAATACTTCTTATCTTTTAAAAATTTTATTTTTATAGTGTTTATTTGTGATGATATGTTATTATGTTATCCTTTAAAAATTGTTTATTTTTTTATCTAAATTATAAACTTCATTGATATTATCGATTTTATCATTCATAACTATATTTTGAACCATATCAAGAATACATTCATTGTGTATTAATCTAATAGATGTATTTGTTTAAACACAGTACTTAAGAGTAGGTAAGGACCATAACATAATTATGTTACACTTGAATTTACTATTTATTACAGGTTAAGGACTTTGTGGCTTAGAGTTGCCTTTAAGTGTTGAGGCATCAGAATTGCAGTCACTGTCTACCCTAAGAGGCGACAAAATGACTTCAAATTACTGGAGTTCATGCATCTCTTAGCTCTAGCAGTTGAGGTGATTTTGATTTTGGTGTTGCTTTAAGTTTGTAACACTCGGGGTTAGCCAAAAACATATTTCCTGTTTCGGCGCCATATGACTTAAATTGTGTTGGTGCACCGTAAAAAAATAAAAGCAACAAAAACAGGTTAAACGCATTCTACGGGTTTGGACAACATCAAATTTTCTATGTCTGAATGTATTTTATTATGCTTTATGTATTTATTCCAAGGGCATATGTATGAAGTTTTAAAAGATTTAAACTTTTTATCACATAAACCGCGACAAATGAGTGTAATAAAGCCACAATAAAAGATGTTATACAAGTATAATAACAGTTTTACGTGACATAATTTGCGTAATATACAGACATAAACTTAAGCGTTACACTTCTAGCGCGTCAATGAACTCTTTTGTACAGGAAACAGTTCTTATTTTAGGTATGTGATAAATAGAATGTTATATTCGTGTAGCTAGTTAACCAAATTCATTTAACTCGTTGAGAAAATATTATGCTCGCCTAGGGCTCGCATATGATTTTAAGAGGGATGTTTCACTTTAAGTTTTCACTTTTGGAGAGTCATAAGTCAAAGAAATGAGCATGTTAGATTTGAATTTGATCATGGTTCAATAATTTTTGGGAGAGTTATGCCCCTTTCCTTTTTCAGTTTCCGTTCATTATCTCCCCAAAGGTATTGCAAATTCAACTCAAATTTGACACATGGACACGTCAAAGAAATGCGCAGGTCAAGTTCAAATTTGGTCATGGTTAATGATTTTGCCAGAGTAATGTCCCTTTCACTTTAAAAATAATATGAAATTTTCAGTTACCGTTCATTATCTCCCCAACGGTAATACGCAAATGACTCAAATTTGACTCACATATAGATACGTCAAAGGAATGCGCAGGTCAACTTTGAATTTGGTTATGGTTCAATGATTTCTTTGGAGAGTCATGGCCCTTTTACTTAAAACATAATATTAAATTTTCCGTTTCCGTTCATTATTTTCCAAACGGTTTTACACATTCAACTTAAATTTGACATATGAATAAGTCAAAGAAATGCGCGTCATTGTTAATGATTTTGGCAGAGAAATGTCCCTTTCACTTTGAAAAAAATATAAAATTTTCAGTTTCCGTTCATTATCTTCCAAACGGTATTACACTTTCAACACAAATTTGACATATGGAAACGTCAAAGGAATGCGCAGGTTAAGTTTGAATTTGGTCTCAAATTTGACATATTGATACGTCAAAGGAATGTGAAGACCAAGTTTTAATTTGTTTATGGTTCGATGAATTTTGGCAGAGTTATGCCCCTTTTACTTGAACTTTGAAAAAAAAATCAGAAATTTTAAGTTGCCGTTCATTATCTCCCCCCCCCCCCTCCTAAGTGGTTGTACACATTCAACTCAAATTTGACATATAGATTCATCTCAGGTATAAGCAGTTCAAGTTTGAATTCGGTCTTGGTTCAATAATTTTGGACAAAGTTATCTCTCTTGAATGTTGGGAAAAAGTCAGTTTCAGCACTCGTATTTTTGTGGAATTGTATGTATTCATTATTATGGCTACAAATATGCAATATGCAATTTACAAAAGGTTAACACTGAATAGTTTCAGTGCCTTGATCTTTGTATAGAAATGGTTTGTGATAACATTGAAAAATTTTAAGGGCTTTGAACTTAAAATAAAAAATAGTTTGTGCAAACAAATTTTGAACTAAATATTAAAACGTCTGAAAGTTTGGCTGCATGCGGGGGCATCCGTGACGTGACGACACATTTCTAGTTTACATTACCATTCTATCTATTCATAATGACATTATATATTATAAGGTCCCAGAATATCCAGAAGATATGACATTTTTTTGTTGATAACGTACAGCGTCAATAAAAACGCAGCGTTTATAATGCAAATGTAAAGAGTAAATAAAATTAAAAAATTGCGTGAAACTTTTTAGCCTGATTATTTCTATAAAAGTTCAATAAATTAACATTATATATTCAAATGGACTTGCTTAATACCAAAACATCATGTATGTTGTAGGTGAAGCTTATTTTAAAGAGAATAAAGTTGTGTTTTGTTGTGAATCATATCAAATGTATGTAAACAATACATAATCGCATATCATACAAAGTTACGCAAGGGCATGCAATTTTTCACAATCAATTAAAAAAATCATGAAAAATTAATGTATTATCTAAACTGAATTTCGCACTTAAAACCGGAAAAATGATTTTAAATTTTATTATGCCACTAATATAATTTTCCCGTTTCATTTCGCTACTTCAATTTCAAAATTTAACGATCATAACATAATCATAATTATACTTTTCTACATATAATCTATCTTTGAATTAGTAAGATATAATGCTATTTTGACAGTTTAAGATTTCCATTGAAGTCTACAAGAAATAACACGATCTTTTCAAAACGTTTCATCCGTCATTAATACATTAATGCAGATATGTTTTATCTTTTTTAAATACCATTTATTAATTGAAATATACTATTCAATATAACTATAAAAAACATCAAAATTTCATATATAAAAAAATATATAAGGTAAATTCATTGGTAACATTAGTAGCATAACAGTTTTTCGAAAACTTGGGTACCGTATTTTTAAGGTACTTACTGACTGGGTCACGTGAATCAGGGGGCGGAGCGATCCCTTCTCTGGCGTAAAGTCAATTGTCATGTAATTTTGCTGATGTAAATGCTCCCAAACGATCCCTTTTAACCAGATATCGGTTCACCACAACAACAAGTGTCAAGTGTCGTGTGGCAGCCGTAAAAAAAGTTGTCCCGTTCTTCATTTCCGTGTTGTTATAATTTTTTTTGTTCTTCGGTATCATTGATTCCAGCAATTTAGTGTTAAAAATCGAATTCCACTTTTGTGTACCGCTCAAGCCGGTGCTAGGGGAGGCTTAAAGAATGTTGCTCTTTTACAGTACCCCTAATGTACAGACTCATTCAAACCGATTTTACCATTTTCACGTAATTTTGCTTATTTGATGCTTCTGAGGGTTCAATTCTTCTAGAAATGTATTCAACACTCATTCAATAATTTCTATGTGCATAGCAAAGGTGATACGTTATAACATTTTGTTGCTGATTATATTTAAGATCTGCTTGCTAAATATTTCATCTTCTGTCCCAAGTGATAATATGTTCTAGGCGACTGTGTTGGGACATACAGTATAATTCGATGGGTCCAAAGTTAACTTCTCACAATGTTTGACATTGTTATTTACAAGGTCACCCCTAAGCTTCTGACAAAGTAAAGAGCTATCGTTCTTAAGACATCTAACTATGGCTACAACGGCCTCGTTTACAAATAAGATTTTAAAATGTTGTTTATCAAGTTTTTTATGATATTGGTAATGTGACACATGTAGGTTTAAAGTAACAATTAATAAATTGCGACATATTGTGTTTCAAAATAAACATTAATTTAAATATGTTCTAATGATCCGTGTTAAGGATTCATTTTATATTGATGAATTTTACATTCATGTAGAAAATGAGGGAGTGAGAGATTTTGTGCAATATGTTCTATATGATGTGAGGATTTTATCAAAATGTACGAGTATTAGTTTTTTATGCTTTTATAATTGAATGTTGATCAATAAACTATATCCGCCATCTAAACTGTATTAAGAAAAATTGAAATGTCATAATAATTTGTGATGATGTAAAAAATTTACTAAAGCTATAACTGCCAGGAAAAAGCATCTGAGAGTAGTTATTAATTTTGACTCCACCCATTATTTTTCATATATGCTTTTAACAACCATGAAGTATATTTGAGTGATCATCATATTTCATTGATAAAATTAAATAAATGTACAGATCAAAATTATGAAGGTCTTGTTAAGATATTACGTGGTACATTCTCTTAAGCAACAGTTAATTATTGACCACTGACAACCATTTATTAAACTGATTCTTGCTTTTATTGTATGGCTCTTGAATAAATGATTTTAACATAATTATATTTGTTGTTGTTTGTAACTTGTTCACGTTTCAACAACTTCGCCTGTGTATATATATCTATTACATGATATGTGACTCCTTCAATTTCGCGATGCCATTTGTGTTCTCGAAATCGTGATATTACCCACTCAGTATATAAACGTATTGGTTTTCCAAGGGTTAGAATTAAAATCCGCATCGCTTTTCAAAATAATGAAAGCTCGCCACTGATTGGCTGTTTTGAAGACCACAAGAAGGTGACTACCTATGGGTGGATATCAGATCCTAATGCGTATTGTTATTTAGGAGCTGATTTAAATCAGATTTGCTTTACATTTTGCTCCAGGGAGTGAGATATTTTGTTTATTTTATTATCTCTCATATACAGACTCAATAAAACCGCCTCTGCGATTTTCTTTGTTTCAGTCAATACTTCACTCCCAACTTAATTCGTTTGTAAGTTACCAGTTAGGTTATCTCGTAGCTTTTACCGCTCATGTTACATATAAAATCACAGGGCCATTTTGAAAATCATTGATTGGCACTATTTTAAACTCTGCCCGACTATGTGGTATACCGTGTTCTGTATTAATAGCTTAAAGGGAGACACAGGCATTGTTTCATTTCTTCGTTTTGAAATTTTCATTCATTATTATGTAGATGTCTTCAAAATGAATAACTAGGAAGTCTCAGGAACAAAGCTTTATTCCTTATAAATAATAAAATGGTGGTTTCCTAACTTGACCCACTTGGGTCAGGTTAGAGCGTTAAGATTTCACAATAATAGTTGTCACAGAAAACTCTGGAAACATTAAAGAACATTTCCAATGAATGATTTAGACTTGTTTTAATCATACAATACAAGGGTTGTCAAAAACTTTCGTGCACTGCAGTTATCATCGTCGTTATTGTCGTGAGAGTTATTGATAAAAAAGCATAAATTATATATCATTTGAAGGGGAAATCTGTCTCATATAAGAAAACAAAAGAAAAGGCCGTGTAACTGGTGTGTGGTGAAGACGAATCGTCATACAGTTACTTTGGTAACGTAATACCGGCGCACGACAAAACATTGGGTTAGTTCATTACTTTGATGCATCACAGTATCCTTCAAACATAACATATAAACGTTTAAAATTCGTTGATAAACTTGACCGTTCGTGTAACCTTGAACCCCTGACAAAGCACTCGCTCAAACATATTTCAAGTGCCTTAAAAAGAGAATTTGAAGGGCAGTTATGAGTTGACAAATCTAATTTCATCTATTCAAATGACTTTTGATATATTTCCTTAAGTAATTAAACAATAATCACATTTATTCTTTGGATTGTTATTTCATTTTCGGTGTCAATATGTCATCCAAGTATTTCTCTTTATCCATTGTGACATGTCACGGCTGGTATATATTCATATATGTAATATGTAATATATATATATATATATATATATATATATATATATATATATATATATATATATATATATATATATATATATATATATATATATATATATATATTATAAATCAAACTTAATGTAAATAGAATAAGGAAGATATAACATCGCGTGGATATCATTTTTAATATAACAGACACTCCCAATAAGACAATTATTCTCTGTAGTTGACGTGTGTGTAAGACGCTTGAAGTTGTTGAAATATCTCTTCCTGTCCTGCTATATATAAAATAAGGGGAAACATAAACAGAAATCATTTTGTCATGTTTTATAATACTTATTGCTGTTAAACTTGTTTATTGAAAATGCTAGTTGTGGTCACAATTGGCTCTCAAAACATGACATTTTAAGTAGTTCAAAGAGCACAAAATGGATAAAAAATAGGTATCATATTTTCATATTATGTCTTGGAAATAAGATAATTCTTAAATGAGATAAAAATGACCGATGTTATTTCGATTCTAACAAGGCAAAATAAGGTAGATCACTAACGCTAGTTTTCCAGCAGATATTACTTCTTGTGCCGATTTCGTATAACAAATACAGTGTGATTATCAAACTTAAACACACCATATTATGACGTCAAGGTTAACACAATCGGACACTTACAATCGCCACTTCATGGCATTTTCCGTCAGAATTCTGATAGCGAATTCGAACACAATATTATGATGAGACTAAGGGAATACTGTACTTCGGACTAACTTACGCTATGAAGTTTAATCATGAAAACAAGTTTTTAAAAAAATTGACTAAATAAAGTAAATTTTAAGATATGAAACAAAACTTACATATTCATCTATTTGATGCTTTTATGCATTTAGACAGACATACATATTGGATATTTTGAATTTGGTTATTGCCAAAGGAATATTCCTTTATTGCCCCTGATTACAATCATATTATAATTGTAATGCACTCGCTTTTGAAATATTTTTATATACACTCGTTACTCATTATGCCAAGATTATAGAGTCCGTCTCTTTACATCAAAAGTAGCATGGTATTTTCAATGCGTCAAGTTATTTTTGTAGTCGACGAGGTGGTTCCGAATGAAGTGTAGGTAGACGGATATCAATCTGTGTTGATATTGAAAGAATTACTATTATAATTTTATATGAATATCAATCAATGTTATATGAATATCAATCAATCAATCAATCAAAGGGGTCTTATTTCGACTGGCGACATTTTGATAACACCTCATTGAACTCCGAAACATCCTCATGTAAAAGTATCATTAACTGGTATCTCTATAAGTAATAGTAAAATTTTCATTTTCTTATCAATACATCAGCTTAGTGATGTGTATACCATTTACCTTGAATCCTGAATGCACCATCAAAATTTCATCTGATCCCTGACATTTTTGGAAATGTCATTTTTGCAGTTACCCAATACTTGAAGCATGATCAGTTTAAGAAAAAAACATACAGAAAAGAAAACAAAGTGCAAACATGAAACATCATACAAATAGTCTCTAGTAAACGAAAATATCATGTGTGTGTGTGAGACGGAATAAGTTAAATATAAAAACACTACTGACCAAGGAAAAGTACATATCCAGATATTGCCTGCTCTAGTTTTAATAGTTTCTTATTCTTCCGCTTCACTTTGCCACATTAAAATTCCTTTGAATCGTCTATCTGCTATTGTCATAGGATATTTTTCATCCCCTATGTCTTCTGCACATTCCATTGTGCTGATGATATCGGTTATCTTTGACTTTTGTCTTTCAAATTGAACATTTCATGGCACACTTCAAAATAAAATGTTCATGCCAACGAAAATATTCTACTTGACAAAAAAATTAAAACTAGATGAATGAATGCAATTTTAAATATTTAAAATTTAACAAAAGTTTACATTTGACAGAATTTTTTTCTTCGGCTTTAATAAGTTTGTTATGTTACATTTTGTTATGTATTGGTGGATATTTGTTAATAGAAAAGAAGACATGGTTTTAGGCTAAATGTTTATTGTACAATAGATCTAGTGTTACTGGTGGTGTATTTTAAAGGAATTTGCTTCCGGTGTTTATATGTACAAGATGTATGTTCTATAACTGTTACAAAAACACAGACAGTACTGTGCTAGAGTTGTTACGCTTTGTAGCGTCCATGGCCGAGTGGTAACATTCGCTGACTTTAAGCCAGTTACCCATCTTTGCTGTGGAATCGTGTCTCGCTAGGGACAAAAGCAGGAAGCTATCAAGCTAGCTTACAGAGCGTCGGTGATTCAAGTCAGATGCCGTTTTGTACCTTAAAATTATGCACGGAAGGGTAACTGAGGTATTCCTGTACCATCAGATCTGCAAGGCCGAAATATGGCTTTTACATCATTACTTACTATAAGAGATGTTTTTAAACTTATTTTAGAATTATACACTTAGCACGAATATGTTTCTTTATGCAAATAGCTCGATGTAATATCGCTCCTCAAAAGACTAAAACACCAATGAGGCACAACACGCTTTTTAAATAGTAAAGCTTTATGAAATTTGTTTTCAATAAAGACCAAATCAAAAATTTAAAAAAAGCCAAATGTTTCATTTGATGTTTATTTGTAACAAGACATACTATTTTTATTGAAACTGTATGACAAGATTTAGGGCTTGTTGAGGGCTAGAGTATATTTGGGTCTGTTCTGCATAATATGTAGTCTCTTCCGCTCATGATTATCAAGGTGGTATTTAAACCTTTTTTACTTACTGACACTCTAGTGGACATTTAAATAAATAGGGTTTGAACTGAAATTAACGCATGTCCTATGTCAAACAAATTGATCCAGTAAAAGAAACATACATACATTTAAATTGATTATAAAAGTAATCACAAATGCTCCAATATGTTTGTGTGTACATTGTACACATGTATTTATGTATTGATATTGTGTTCATTAATCATGTACAAATATACAAGAAATTATTATCAAAGTTATCTATCTAATACTTTAAGTATGTACAACAGTCACACCAGCGTCCTCAACTTCTTTAATAAGCTTGTCCATTTTGGCGTTTTGTTCTGGTGTTAATGTCTCATGCCATGTACCAGGCTGACCTGAATTATATAAAGAATAATAATTAATTTCCAACAAATTAATTTCTTTATATAATACTAACTGCACGCAATCAAAAGAGGTGTCATTATTCATTTATTAGCCTATTGCCAGGATTCAAAGAAAATAATTGGCTAAACCTGAAAGTCTTTATATTAAATTGCAACAACTTTGAACACCACCCCACTCCCTCTCCTCTCCCTCCTACCGGCCAAAATGTCGGTGGGAAATACGGTCCAAGTCTCAGTCCATCCGTCTGCCCTGCAGTATGTCCATTTTTCTGTACCTCACTTTTACGGAAGATACTCTTAAAAAAACTATCTTAAGCATTAAATAGATGGCATCTAAAATGTGTACAATGACTAAAACCGTAACACACTTTAATGGAACAGTTTTGTAATTATCTCCCTGTATATAATCTAGAAATCTATTTTTGTCTGATGCACAAGTCCTACACTATACAGACGACTGATTTGAAACACATACATTTTGTAATAATAAACAGATAAATTGTAATATGTATTGAAAAGAGCCTCGGTGTAACCATTTTACTTTTTTTATTTAAAGAAAAAGCATAAGGACAGTATAAAAAAAGTTTTCAAAAATCTTGATACAAATGTAAAAGGGAATCAATTATTCCAGTTCAATACAGCTTCTAAGACTAACTTTATTAAATACGTATGCTATTGATTAGTAATACCTAAAGTATTTAAAACATAGATTTTTTGTTAGATATATACCTTTATTTATAAAATGACTTTCCTCTGGTTTAAAGTCGACATATCCTATATCTTGCCAGTATGAGTAATTAACTTCTTCGTTATTCCTCATCTTATCAATACTGCAATGCTCGGCAATGTCCGCAACATCGTTATCTGTTATTGTACGGCCTAGAAATGTGGCTATACGTCTGATTGCGGCAGGCATATCCTGTGAGGATATAAAAATCTAACAGTTGCAAATGTTTTCAAGTGAGTATGTCAACTTTACAGAATAAAGATCAAGAAAAAAGAGCGACATTTTCCGTCGGGAGAAAATCGCACTGGACCCGCGGAGAGGTACCAAGAATGCAAGAAAAACAGATCAAAACATGTTTTCAATAAAGTCTTGATTAAAAACTTGCATTAGTCACTTATGACAAAGATTTATTTTATTTTGAAAATGTCGATGAATGAATGTTTAGAGTTCAATTTTTTTCATTTCTATAATGTCTGATATAATTAGCTTGTCAAAATATTTTCATTTGCAGGTGGTACAATTATCTTTTAACTTTTGGCTTTCCTTTTGCAATAATAGGAAGGAAACGTTTATTTTTAATCAATATATTTACAATTAAAGCATGTGTTTGAACAATTAGTAAGAGATGGTAAATCTGAATATAATACATATACAGTATATAGATAAACTAACTATATATATCTGATATGATAAATATTTCAAGATAAAGACCTATATACGTATACAGGATGATAGTACAAATGTATTATTAGCATTCTAATCTAATGACATATTTATGTTAAGTAAACGCCTCAATTTCCAAGTGTACTTTTTATTTATAAACTTACTTTGACAACATCTTCAAATCGGAGAAATAAAACTTGAGGTTCATATTTCTTCTCCCAATATCCAAGAACATGCTGCGGCCACGGACATGCATAAGCTAAAAGAATTTTATGTAGAGGCACATTATATAAAGAATTGAGTACAATCATGTATGATAGAGTTTTACTCAAGATTGATCATTGGCGTTTGTCATTCTCCTGTTAAATCCGTTATTTTATTACCAAGATATTTTAAATATGATTACAAAGATCAACAAGGAAAGTGAAAGAAAGCTGAACGCAGCCCCGATTAAACCAAGCGACACAAAGTCACTTTTACTAAACCCAGCAATACATCAAACAAATGCAGGATAGGGCACAGGGGCAAAGCAAAGATATAAGGTTGCAATTATTAACAATTGATTTCAGGAAAACGTAGGAAACTAAACAAACACAATTTAAGAATACATACCATTAAAAGGCTACCAGGGATAAGATTCACTTTCATATGTGTATTTCATATTTGTTGTTTGCACTATATTTCATAGATAAAATTAGAAAAGAATAAATATTTATATTTTTTGTCAAAATGAAAAACTAATTTTGAATGAACACTTTCGATATTTTATAGATAACTTATAGGAAAATAAAACTTGTTTTGACTGAATCTAAGAATGAAATACCGATACAAAACCTGATATGCCACCATACCTTTGCCATCGACAAAACTGTCAAAGAATCGACCAAACATATTTTCTCCCTCATCAAGTTGATGTGTCCACTTAAATAATTTGAATAGGGAAATAACAGAATATTTTGGGTTGCGGTACATATAGATTATCTGGAAAAATAACAACATTAATTTCGCTTTGTCTTTTTCAAAATCGAAGACACGATACGTTAAATATTCTTATATAACAATGTCAATAAGTATAAGTCTCTTTCAGATTATTTCTGGCAAAGGCTGTCTGTTTTTGTGGGGTTTTTTTTCGCATATACACGTATACCTAGGGACTTGAATTGAGATAGGATTTTCGTAGATCATTATAACCCTTTCTTCTAAAAAGACCTTATGACACATTTAACTATATCCCTGTGTAAGCGTTATTTTGCTTCAACTTAAAGAATAAGAAGCAAATTTACTAAAATAAAAACATTATTTTTGAAAAGAGTAAAGAAATTCATAAAATATTCAAGTTACATTAAAAGTAAATAAGTATTTTCATGTTAAGAACAAATAAACTAAAAAAAGTAAGACAATGAAATTTTTGTTTAAGGAAAGTAATATGCAATATTTCCTAAAATAGTTTAAACAAACCTTGAAGAACTTATTCATTATTAAGCAAGTGTTTGTTCTGACAAAACTGATCCAGAAATTATGTAGAACAATTAAACTGTGGCAACCACGATAGAAAGTCTCTATTAGATATTTCTTGATATAGTTCAAATTTCTCTCGCTCATATTTGCATGCTTTGGTGACAACTAGAAAAAAGATGCCTAAGTTTGCTGTAGCCTGGTCCTGCAAAGTATGCATGTATTCGAAAACAGACCCTTCCTATGTAAAAGTAGTTTATTTGTGTATCACATGTACTAGAATGCCTTTATATATTAGGAAATCTCATTATGTATAATAAAGTCTACCAAATGAGATCTATCTACTGTATGAAAATTAATCATAAATAATCACAAATAAAAAATAAAATTAATCACAAATAAACCAGCAACCATTCAATTCTATTGCAGATATCAAATACAAAACGGAGACAAGACTTAGTCCTACTTACTTCCGGAATGTCCATTAATTTCACAGTCATTTAACCCTTTCCTTCATATTGGGAAAAATGGTCATTTTCATTGAAAAGCCTTCTCTTACAAGTTCAAACTATGAAAAATGCTTCAATACTGATGAAACTTGGCACAAATGTTGACTGGACCATAGCCTCTGTAACAGCATGCTCAATCTGACATTTCCTGTATTATTGACAACGGGGGTCGTCTCAAAATTGCCAAAAATTACTATTTTGCATTGGGTTTTTTCCCCATCAAAACTGATTTCTAATTGCTGCAACTTATCAATGGATTGAGATAGAGGCGTTTCAGCGTTGGTTACACGTTACCGGGGCCATTTTTAGCCTGTCATATGTCCAAAATTTTCTTGACGATTAGGGGGACTACCGCCCCCTGCAAACAACCAAACAGAAGGGGTTAACAAAAAATAATGAAAACCTTGGAATTACCCAAAATCTAGTTGTTCCATGTTAACACGTGGCTTTTTACCTAATTTTGGTGAAAAAATGTTGTTTGTGCCATTTTTTAAAACATAAAACTGTATTTAAGAAACATAAGTAAGTAACGGTGATTTTGAATTCGGCGAAACAAACATTGCGTCTATTGTATAAGCCTAGAATTTGATTAATTTGATTTTAATGCCAGATAAGATTTGTTGAATTTAAGAGCATATTTTTTTGAAAACGCTTTGCTTGGTTTCGAGAAAATTTGTCGGTAAAACTGAATAGTGATCTTTGACTCGTAGAATAATTTTTGAACACACCTTCCATTGTCCTACTAGTCATATACCGTTAATCGCTCAATGCATGTAGTAGCAAAATCTATACTGACCCTCCCTTTGCCTTTTCGGAGTTGTTCTGGTAGAAGAAAATGATGAAGATGTGTTTTTATCATCCTTGGTGATTTCATTTCGTCTATTGTCTTCTTTCCTGACAACAGAAAATATTGTTAGCTACTTATGATTAGACATGTTTGGCAAATGTGTTATACTGTTCAAAATTCGTCCAATTAATAGTTCATAGTTACAGGACATACAAAGCATTTCCTATCTAAAAGTTGTTAGTACTTCGTTTTCGTAGAATTAGAAAAATAATATACTTTAAAATAAAATGTTTCTATTCTAAAATGCATGGGACAATTTCTTCTATATTTTGGATACTTCAAGTGTTAGTCACCGGCATTATTCTAGTTTTATCATTTTATTATAATTATTATCATTGTTAAATGCACCTTGTAGTACACCGGTATAAGTAGAGTTTATCACATCCATGAAGTATTTTTACAATTAATATCAAAACTCATAGTACGTAATAAATTTATATAGCATCTGACTCCCCCTCCTGTGGCCCATGCCAGGTTGGATTTTAGTAAATTTTTGTTTAAAATGTTTTTACTGCATCCATATATGGCGGATTAGATAATACGAACACTCATATCGACAACAAGTTAACAATAATAATAGCCATTCAGCCCACCCCCAAAAAATAAATAAATAAATAAAAATCAATCACTTAAAATCACTAATTTGGTGATTAAATCATTTTTGCCGTGGCGATTTTATGGATTGGAAACCATCACTATTTTATTATAAACCTTATCAACAATACCTTTATAGTACGGAAATCTGTCATCTTTGCAGTCGAGGAACGGAACCCTAACCTCAAGTTGAACGTTGTTTGCTGTATCAAAGTCTAATGTTTGAATCAGGTAAACTAACTCTATAGTCATTGTAGTACCTGTATTATATAAATAACAAATACAATAATCAACGCTTAAAGATCCTGTATTTTTTGTGATTTCGGGTAGCTGGAACGGTGCAGATTTTCCGTGATACGGTGCTTCCATCCAATATGAAGTAAGGTAAACAACTAAAAGGTACGTGTCATTTTATTTTCTATGAATTTAGACAAATTCGTTATATATTTTAAAAGAAAAATATTTGCATGTAACGTAAAAATAAATTCACTATAAGATCACTAAGTTCACAATGTATGTAACATATGATATATATGATTTTTTTACAAAAAAAATTTGTAATAAATGTACATGAAATTTGAACCGAGAGAAGTGGTAAATTTTTGAGTCAATCTCCGTACAAGAGACATTTATATTGAAGTGAATACTCTTGTTTATTACAGTAAATGTACAAAATCATCTGTGCAATTTAACCATTTATTTTGTCAATTTGTGTTACTGTGTGTATACCACACTTGCAAAAAATAATATATGTATATATAATTATGCAAATAAAACAATTTCAAACATCGAAGAATATGTAAAATGTGTACTGCAAATATTTGTGCACATTATATTTAATCAATAAATTATATGCATTCATTTCTTATTGGAAAATTTGACTTAGAATTTATAGAAAATGAATTTCTAATTACCTCCCTTTATTTACATGAAATGGTAAATTCGGTAATATCTTTATAAATAATGCTTATTGGAACTTACAATATTGACAAATCTTAATTTGAGCATCATATTTATGAAATAAAACCATGAAAAAAAAGTGTTACAGGATCTTTAATGTGAAAACATTACACAGAAGATTCGAATCTCGGAGCTTGTGATGCATTTTTTACTTTTGTAAAATAATAGTATGTTCTCCGTAAAATAATTGTGTGTGCGTGCGTGTGTGTTTTGATTTTTGAAAAATTATTATTATAATTATCATAATTATTATCATTATTATTATTATTATTATTTTCATAAAAATATTTATTGAACTATTGAATGTTACTGTGTTCACGTTTTAGTTATATTGTTTCTGAAGAAAAAAATATATAAATATAACCAACCGTGTAAAAATGAAAATATGTTAATAAGATGTACATTTGCAAGTTAACATCTTAACAAAACCTTGAATATTTATAAGCCTGAATTTATAGGTTGAAAATGATGCAAAATACTCATTTCATTATTTATGTACTTTTGCATTGTGTCGTAATTTAAAAAACAATACCATTTGATAAATTCAGTGCTTTTGCACGTATTTTTTTAAAGAACTACAAAAGAAAATAACACACCTGACCTCGGAGAGGTGCATATCCAAATATCGTCTGCTCTAGTTTCCATAGTTTCAAATTCTTCCGCTTCACATTGCCACATTAAAATTCCTTTGAATCGTCTTTCTGCAATTCTCATAGGATATTTTCCATCAATCTTTTTTTCTGAATCTTCCATTATTATATTGTTTATTGTCAATAATCTTTGTATATATAACTTTTAATCTTAAACTTTTACACATTTTACAAAGAGCATTGACCTTTCATAACCTCGTTTACACTTGATAAACGCTGATATTACTATACTTAACAGCAACTTAGAAGTCATGTTTATAAAACTGGATAACTATATCATTTATCTAGATTAACTTTTGCAAAATTAAACAAATCTTTTATCACAGAATGTTGAATAAGCCAGCAATTAACAATAAATTATTATCAAATAAATCACCCTTATTTTATGATCACAAATATAGAAAGGGGAATTTCATTTTGGATTAAAATACTTAGTCAATTCTCGTAGCGGACTTCATAATGGTCAGACATTGTCAATATATCTAGGGCGATTTTGTCAAAGAATTTACGATAAGTTGTGTATGATTTATGCTTGTAAAGGTCCAGTTATCTAATCTACAAATACCTGTAAATTTTAATAACGATTCTGTCAGTTTATGTCTTATCGAGTCTGTTTTATTGTATTACTGTTTTCCAGCGTTTAACCTTAGTATTAAATATTTAGTTACTTTGTAAAATGTCAGAAAAAAGAAAAGAAAGTGCAATGAAGTTCATTTGATCACGAGATACACAAAAATGAGTAAATTACCAGCCAGAGGATTACTTGCGCATGGAAATTGAAAACATGCAGGCATCACGGTCGGATTTGTCCACTCAATCATAAAGTACTGAATTAGTTGAGACGTGTTTTTTTCGAAAATCTGAAGCTTATTTGAGCCGCGTCACGACAAAACCAACATAATGGGTTTGCGACCAGCATTGATCCAGACCAGCCTGCGCATCCGCACAGTCTGATCAGGATCCATGCTGTTCACTATCAGTTTCTCTACTTGTTATAGGGTTTGTAAGCGAACAGCATGGATCCTGATCAGACTGCGCGGATGCGCAGGCTGGTCTGGATCCATTCCGGTCGCAAACCTATTATGTTGGTTTTGTCGTGACACGGCTCATTTGTACTCTATAGTTCCGTCTCTTGAACTAAATTATATTGGTGATAGTCGTGACCACGGCGTATAGAAGTCCATATTAATAGCATGTGTTGAATATTAATGATTTTATTACAAATGTTAGACAGGTGTAATTATGATTATTATGATCATTACAAAATTTAATATGCTTTAGACATATCCTACATTTTGTGGATATGAAGTGAGATAATTACATAAAACGATGAATGTTTGGTTCCTTTTGGTGTTTTCAAGGTTATAATCTTCATGTAATAGGTACCATAGGTGAGTTTGTTGTATATTTACAAGGTATCTTCGTTCGTTTGCGAGGAATTTGTGAAGTTTTGTACATGTTCGAGAGTTGCATTGACTGTGATGATCATCTCGATAGTCTTACCCGTAGTTCTAAGTAAAAGTCAGGAAACAAAGTGATCTCTCGGAAGCGTTAAGCGCAACAAGATTACATGGAAATTGCAGATTTGGTTTGATTGAGTCTGTACATGAGGAATAATGAATAAGTGCAATATCCCTTACGCCCGTAGCACCGGGTTGAGAGATACTCAATCCTCAACACTTAATTGTGCTGGCATCAGTGATCCCGAAGGAAAATATAACAACACTAAAGTGAAGTACGGGGCAACTTTTTACAGCTGCCACACGGCACTTGACACCTGCTGTTGTGAAGTATAAAAATCTGGCAACAAAATGATGTATACATTCATTATAACATAAACCATATCTTGAAGAATCACTTTAATGTGAAAGTGAATATTTCTGATATAAATGGAAAAAACAACAACAAATTTTAGAAATTTTAGTCGTTGAGTCAAAAAGGTCTTCTTCCGAAAATAAATATATATTGTTTTCTTTTCGAAAATAAGTAAGTAATAAGTATTGTGTAGTTAATAGCTATTTGGGAAACACACATTAACACAGTAGCATGTTCAATGATAAAAAGCATTGTCATGTTTTAAAATTGTCAAATCGTTGTCTTCTGTATATCATGGTGAAATGTACAATATGTAAGAAATTCGTAATTATAGTTGTAATTCAAAATAACGTTAATTAAGTTTATAATATTTCAATTTATAAGAAAAGCGACGAACATATTGTATTGCAAATAAAGTCTACGCTTTGAAACAAGTAAAATTCCGTGTATTCGTTAGCCTTTTTTCCGGATAAAGCAAGCTCGTTGACGAAGAATATTCACAAGTATCTAACTATTAATGTATATAGGGTTGACAGAGCCTATATTCTTCCCATCTTTCGGGTGTAATTTCCTGCAAAATTATTAAGTGAAAACGATACTTCATTGGTAAAATCATGAGCACATTGTTTAAAAAGGTCAATATGGTATATTCATAATTATTTAATTTACTTAATATAATTCATTCATTAGTAAATCTTCTTAAATTCGGAAAATTGTTTATTTTGATTTTCAACAACGAAAACATCAGTATAATACTTACGATTTATAAAACAAAACAACAAGTACGATTCCCAGAATCAGTGCAGCTGGGCCTAAAGTAGCTCCAATAATCCAGTAATTATTCTTTTCTGTTGGTTGGTGTGTTTGTGTAGGGCATTCTTTTAATAAAGCATTAAAATGTTTATAAAACAGATATCATAGCTATAATATAATTACATAATTTCGGTAGATTAAAACCGAAGATACAATCATGTTGAATCTTTATCATCCGCGATTAAATCGGAAGGGGGTATTGACATCGGGTTATCCGTCCGTCAGTCAGTCTGGGCTAACGTTCAATGGTTTATGAGTTTAATTCTGCTTATTATCTTAATAGGCAAAAAAGGAAACCATATAACCCATCGATTTAAGAGGACATTTTCACTTGTATATGTCGAAAAGATGCCTCATACAGAACAAAAACACATACACTTCAATGATTGTACGTCATATCAGACGATCTCAGTCTGTCAGTTTGCAGACACGTATATATGCATAGAAGAACGTGAATTACAAATTTTCTCTTAATCCAGCTAAAGGTATTTTGAGTTTTTGCCCTTTATTACAAAATAACAATATTGAGCCTTGTCTTATTTGTCGGACCATGTGTTAAGTTTTTTATATAAATCCGGAAATTTACTTTTAATAACCTAACTATCAATGTTCGAAGAACATTCAATTTTATAAATACCAGGCCCAGGAGTCCAAACAGCCATATTAGGATTATCGCCATTGCAGATGTAACAACCTGAATAATCTCCTGGATTGAAGCAGTTCCCATTGTTGACACAGTAATTGGGCTGTCAATGGATTTAGAATAAATAATCAATGGATATAGCGATATATGTCTCATTCGAATACAATAAGTGCTTTTATATTATAAAACATATAAGGAACGGAAAAACATGTGTATCAAATTGAGGCATTTTTTTATAAGAAACTGGATAATAAAAATTAATCTTACTTTTTTAGTACAAAGAAATGACTCCGCAGTTTTTGAGCAGTTGATGCATTCAGAGTCTAAAATAATGATGACATCTTCTTCACTATATGCTTTTCTATTATTACTAATAGAAACACGGTAGCCATGAGCTATGACATTGTCGTTCATTTCTTCATTTGCTGATCTTTTGTTCCTTACGAAAGGTAATTCACATGTAACTTGTGTGAATGATTCCAATGAAGCATTGTTTGTCATTGTAGCTTGTTCTTTCGTCTGTCCATTATTTATAATCTGTAACAATAAATGCAACAAAGTAATAACATAGTTCAAAATGCAGCAATCAAGGGACAATTGTGTCTCCCTTTAAAAAAACGCACATGTAAATCAAGCATAAAATGATTTATTACGGGTATAGCACCTACCAGACTATCGTTTAATAACAAACCGAAACTGTAATATAACTCAAATTAAAGCAATTAAATACCTAAATAATTGAACCAACGAATAACGCCAGATTTCTTCTTCTTTTTTGTAAAAATAGAGTTAACCATATCCATTCTTTACGAATGATTTAATCAATCTTTAATGTTTATGATATCAAAGTTTAAAAAGGGTAATGAAATGTGTTCTTTATAAACACGTCACAATACAGAATAATGTATTGTAAGCAATATTATACCTGAAATGCTTGCATTTTGCATGTCAAAGTATCAGATTCAACAACATTCTGTGCAAAAACAGAGGTTTGCTGACATTTTCGTTGTCTTACATCACAAAGTCCCAGGTCGGGTATGCCAAGCATATATGGTGCATCGTCTTCATGCAAAGAACAGTCAATGTCCATATATCCTTGATCACAATCGCACGTTCCTTCAAAGTAAGTAAAACATATTTAGTAGTCATTGATTATGTCTTTTCTGTTCAATTTTTGATATATACCAAATATACCAATAGCTGGATGATTATTATATGCTTTCTTTAAATTCATCTAAACCATTCTTTGGTTACTCTTTTTAAATTTAAGCTTTACCATTTTTGCACTTTCCGTGTTGACTACAATCGTTCAAACAGCTCAATGAGTTCACGACAACTAGCATTTCGGGTGTAATTTTAAATGGAGGCTTTTGTACTGGTGTCTCATGAGATGTAGTAGGAGAGCGTGTAGTAGTTGTTGTGCTATTTAATTCAGTGTTATTTCTGTTAAAGTCATTTGGGTCTTTTGTTATTTCGTTCAGCTCTGACAAAACAGAATCAGATATTGGCTGATTAAGTTCTATATTATATAAACATTGTGTTTTTATCCCTTCAATGTGTATGTTGGTCCAGTCCATAGAATTGGTAATCTGAAAAAGAAAACCACTTGTCAAAACATGTTTTTAGGAATTTCTGATAAATGCTATAGAAAGTTTAAATTTGATTCCTGAATATTTATTTATTAAAAGAAACATATATAAAATTACTAATTAGCTCAAAATTTCAATAAAAACAGTACAAATGGGTTCTACTTGCACAATTTGTTAGTTCAATTACATTATTATTCAAGCAACAAAAAAGAATCCTTTATTGAAATTGAAATGTGATATTGACAAATAAACAAAGACTTCAAATGAAACGTTTTACCATACACAATAATAGTTAAATCAATTCAATGGTTCAATCAATGCTTCGATTCGCATTGAAGAATTTTAAATGATGAACGATATTTCAGAAAAAGACTTATGGACTCACAGAAAATACATATATAAACATAATTAATAACGTATCATTAAAGAGACATTATTTCTAAGAAAAGAATAAATCTTGTACTTATTAAAAAGCAACAGACGCAGGAGATGGTTCAGGAAATTGGACAGTCATTATAACAGGGCATAAAAAGATAAAGCTTTTAGAGAAAATTATAAGCATTTCTACGGTATCATGGACCTTTGATTCACAAAATTATCATCGTTGCAATTTTGAAATAATGTTATACAGGTACAATGGTTTTACGAACGAGTAACAAAACGTTATATCTATGAGTATAGTAGATTATTCTTTGTAAAGTTACTTACTAAAGCATCTGAGACGCAATTATCTATAAATGACTCCATATTTAGTGTAGGAAGATTGGAGCAAATTTGAAACAATGTTGTATTCATTGCGTTAATGCAATCTTCTCTGGCCGTTTCTTCTGTGTATGTGCTTCTTCTTAATACCTAGACACAAACATGTTTGCTTGAATATTAAACTTACAATTCATTAACAAAATTACGTTAAGTTAAACAGTCGTATTGATTCAGTTATCATAATTTCAATATCGTACCCGATTTCAATATTCAAATTAAGGTAGACCACTTCTAATGAACACTATAAGGAACTGTAAAATTGACAACAAAGGACAGTTGTATGCTTTAAAGGTCATCTGTATGCAAACTTTAACATAACAGGACTTTTTTGCTCCTTCGGAATCATTGATGCCAGCACTATTAAGTGTTGAGAATTGAGTACCGCTCAAGCCGGTGCTAAGGGGCGTGAGGGATGTTGCACGTGTTCATTATCCCTCATGTACAGACTCAATCAAACCGAGTCTGCAATTCTCTTGTAATTTTGTTGTGATTAATGCTTCCGAGGGATCACTTTGTTTCCAGATTTTTATACTTCACAACAGCCGGTGTCAAGTGACATGTGGCAGCTGTAAAAAGTTGCCCCGTACTTCACTTCAGTGTTGTGATATTTTTCTGGTCCTTCGGGATCATTGATGTCGACATTACTAAGTGTTGAGAATGGAGTACCGCTCAAGCCGGTGCTAGGGGTCGTGAGGGATGTTGCACGTATTCATTATCCCTCATGTACAGACTCAATCAAACCGAGTCTGCAATTCTCTTGTTATTTTGTTGTGATAAATGCTTCCGAGGGATCACTTTGTTTCCAAACTTTAAATATAATTTACCGTAGAGTTAATGAATTATGGACCTTTTTTCAACTAAAACTTTGCTATGTTTTATTTTCAGAAATGAGGTAACTCTAAATAATCTATAATATCATCATAATGAAAAATGTTTTCCTATTGCTCATTGTTAAGAAAAAATAATAACATTCAGGTAAGAAATTACACGAGGAAATGATTGTTTGTAAACAAAATGGTTTTTACATGAATAAAAATGTTACCATACCCCCACCCACTTTAAACACTTGTTTGACCATTTCCCTATCTTAAAAGCCTTATTCAAAATATCCCTTGAATTTACCACAATGAGGGGCTGTTTTCAAAGTTTGCCTAAATTTTCCTAGAAGTATATTGGTTGATATTGCAAAATATAAAATACATTTACCGTGTAGTTTTTATTTTAATAAACTTTGAAAATATCTGGTTAAATTTTCTATTAAATTCGGTATTATTTAGCAAATAATTGCCTACAATTATTATATAGTTAAAATCAAACACTTTGTCTGCTAAAAGGGATCTAAGAGATACATAAATAATGTTAAAAAGAAAACAAGAAAGAAAAAAGTTGTCCCTTCTTGGGTTTGAACCCACTCCTCACAGTCTCAATGCAGTTGACAAGTGATTCTAGCCAGAAGAGGTAAAGTATTCGGAGTGGTCTACCTTAAAGAAAAGGTTAAAGAACGTTTATATAGTTATGCTGTGGTCATCGGTTATAACAAGTAATTACACGTTTGGAAATTTAAAAATGTTTCTCACCGTATGTTCCTTCGCCCTCTGTTGATAAAGACTTCTAAAGTTTGTCTCAGTAGACTTATGTGTATCAATTGCGTGAAACACATAATTTGTAGATCTTTTTACTGGAGAAAGGGAGCACATTGCGTGTTTGACGTCTGTTAAACTATCATGTACACACTTTCTCATTTCAGATGTATCGCACTTGGCTGTAGGAAATGTATTTTCTACACTGTTTTTCTCATTACATACACACATGTATTTTTCCAATTTCCAAGGTTTTATGCTCTGGTGTTTGTGAAGGTTGAACAAGTCCGTAGTCTCGCCCACGCTTAGGGTCAATTAGAGAGAAAATTGAAATGAAATAGACTGAATGATAAAAATAAGGCCCGGGGCTCTCGTCACGTTCTGTACTGAATTCAAAAGATTATATTCACTCGTCAGCTACAAGGGTTTCAACATAAAAGTTTGCAAATATGTTCCATTTATCAACCTAAAATATCAGGACAAAAAAAATGAAAGCGGTCCAACTCATAAATAAATTAAATCATGTATATAGTAGTTAGTACCTTGAGATATGCATTGTATTATAAACTGTGTGTTTTGGAAGTTTTGTTGTAGATTAAACTTTACATTTTCGTTGGTAATAATGTAATGTAAATTAATACGATTATCGTCCAACGGCGCCGATGTTTAAATCACAAATGACCCTTTTTGTTACACAACCAAATCCTACCGGAAGAACGATATTTTAAACATTAACCAATCCGGAGGCAAATTTCACTTTAAAACAAATTGAAACTATGTAAAAAAATGAAGTCATGCCTCGCCATAAAACAATTTACGCGCCGAATTGCTCCAATTATCTGTCTTTACCAAATAATGTTGCATGTAGACGGTTGATTTACAATAATACATACGATGTCCTATTATCCACAAAATTTCGCTTGTAACATCCGATAATCATCACCTCTAAGGGATGATATAAGGTATTGAATTTCGCATGCCCTAAATTTCGCTAGTCTCTGGAGCGTTTTCTAGAGTACAGGGAAACTTACACTAGCGAAATTTGAAAACTTCGCCTCGAAAATTAGAGTCTTATTTTTCGTATGTTGTGTTATCTTCATGTGGAATTTAAACACACGATATCTAAAATAATTGATACTAAATTTCGCATGTATGACATTTCTTTAGTCTCTTATAATTAGCGGTAATAAGTGCCCTTCCACAAGATAAATATATCGTGAGGAATACACTACAAACGAAAACTAAGACTATAATTATCGAGGCGAAAACTGTTAAATTTCACTAGTATAAGTTTCCCTGGTCTATAGAAAAAAGGCGATGATTATCGCTTCAGAGACCTGAATATTTAAGACATGCGAAATAAGTACTAAGTTTCGCCCTTTGGAGGCGATAATTATCGTGTGTTTACGTTTAATTTGATTTTATTTAAAATGACCTATCAATTAACGTTGCGTATCACAGATAAGCTATCAAAAGACAAATTTGAAAAACAGGCAACATATCCTAAGGGGGGAGCTTAACAGTATTCATGTGAGGTATACTGGAACCACATATTTGTGAAAACATCAAATTGAAAGATACTAAAAGTATCTAAAGCATGCACTCACAACAATAATGTCGTGGTGAACGATCTTTACGGATCGAAAATATAGCATCTTTGATTAAATGTTACAGCTGTCATCTGCACAAATAACACTGATGTGACACTATAATAAGGAAAAACGGAAATCCTAAAGAAAGCAAAGCACGGAATTTTGACAATGTTGCAGGCTCGGATTCATTTTAAATTTTGAAATGGGATCAGAGGGTATGACGCTTAAACTGTCAAGTTGCAAACAAAATCACGTCATTGTTGAAATAATACAATGTAAAATATTTACCTCCAAGTTAATGCTGTGTTTTTATCTGGATCATTTTCCTTGATATTGTCAAAGTTTCCGCATAAGCCGGTTGATACTTTTGCATCAAGAATAGATGGAAATATATCTATTTCAAGAAAAGTCTGCCAGTTCATTTGGATCAAAACTTCTGTCCCACTTGGGAGGTAAACCTTAAACGACATATGCAATTCAATTGTTATAAATAACGACGTAAATTAGAACTGACGAATACATTCTTTATTAAGGGATGACCATCCTAATAACACTGTAGGGAAATGAAAATGACAAATGGGTCAGAAATATGCTTTAAAAGACACCTGTATGCAACATTTTAACATAATTTACCGTGCTTTTTTATTCATTATGGACACGTTTTTTAGCTAAAGTTTGGGTGTTCTTTTTTTAAGGAAACTCTAAATAAAATAAACTAAACCATTCTAATGAAAAATGTTTTTCCATTGATTATTTTGAAGAAGCAAACAAACACATTCAGCCAACAAAGCACATAAACAAAATGTATGTTTCTACTCACAATGTTTTAAGTATATATAAAGATGTTACGGTCCCATTCATTTTTTACACTTTCTTTGATCAATGTTCTGCTTAGAGAGTCTAATTCAAACAATCCCTTACATTTACCAAAATGTGAGGCAGTTTTCAAAGTCTACCTATATTTTCTCAAATGTATCTTGGTTGTTAGTTATTATATACTTCGTATTGTAGTTTTGATTTCATTAGACTTTGAAAATATCGGGTACCATATTTGTAATTTATTTAAGCATTTTAGTCACTTAATACCTATTATAATTACATAATTGCACTTAAATACTTTTTTCTCTCAAAAAGGATCTGAAAGATACATTATTAATGCTTACAAAAAAAAATAGAATTATAAAACTTGACCCTTCTCGGATTTGAACCCACGACCCTCAGTTTCAATGTTGTTAGAAGTACGCCTAGCCTATTAGAATACTCTTTAAAGCGGAGGTAATGTCTTAAAGGTGTTTATACCATAAGCCTCTCTTAAGTCCTGTAAATAATCCTAGCAATGACTTAAGAAGTATGCAATCCTACTGTCAAAAAGTGTTGCAAATATCGTAGATTAGATCATCTTTAAATAGAATTGCATATATTACGATTATTAATAAAAAAAAGTAAAATACAATATATTGGAACAAACTGAAATACCCTATATTCCTTTCCTCCTTTTTTTCTTTTAACCTTTCGTTGTAAGACACGATCGTCACATCTCTCAAATCGAGGATCAACTTTACCCCCTGTTCCACAGTTATCAATTTTAAATATGTCTCTTCCAGCACGCACTGCAACCCCACAGACACACCATGGTCTTATATGATGGGTAAAATGGTTCGGACACTTGTCCGTTTTTATTTGTGTCTGCAAAGGAAAAATATGCTATCATAATCATAGTGAATCTGCATATGCATTTTACATTTACATAAGAATTACTTTGCTTTGGAAAATGTAAAATGTTATGTACAACAAACCTATTGACAGGTCTGCAAGAAGGTATGTTGCACCACTTTTTTAATGTACAATTAAGTTGGTATTTAGCAGTAATTGGTTCTAAATAAATAAGGATATACTAAGTACAATGTATCTATAATTATATTTAAGTATGTTTAATCAATTGATAATGCACAATTTCAGGTTAATTGTCTAATAAATATCATTTTGTGAGGAATATATTCAACAAATTGTGAGAATCATTTTTTTAAATAGAGTAGGTTTTGTTACTATGTAAACTTTGTTAGTGGCCATTTGTCTCGTTAAATGGGGTTCACACGAGCATAATACTAAACAAATATCACATTTGAATGTATGAGAAATCTTACCTCAACATTTTGAACTTCATTTCTGTGTAAAATGAATGTTCCGGGATTCTGATTTTCGTATTTTCTAAAATCCATAATAATAACTTTTTATATCATAATAATTTGATTCGTAACAAGGCATGTTGCTGACGTGTACGATCAGCGTGTACTTATTATACAATTTAGGAAGAAGATTTGAGAAAATAGAAAATATTTATAAGTTACCTGGCTCAGTTGCCTGTCTCGAAACATTTTGTCAAAGAAAATCTCGTGTGTCAACTGAACAATCATCGTGTATTCAGTAACGCAGAAATAATGTGAAAATAACACGTGAATTGTGCAATGAAATAGAAATAAAGCAGAAATGTGCAATTATATGGCCAAATCGAGCTTCAAGGGTTGTATGTTTACCTAATATACTCGAAAGTCTATAGACCATCAAATGGAAATCGATAAAGGGATGCATATGGTTGCAAAATTTTCAAGTAAAGTGATTGTTTTTCAAGATCTTTCGTGTGAATGACGACCTGGCCAGCGTGTTGAAGGTGACATTTATGTTTTCGCTACGTATATATTACATAATTGATTTTATATATGGTATACGTGAGACATTTGCTAAACTATTCATGTCAAATTACATTGAAATTAACAAAATTATATGTTACTGAGCCATTTTTACAGGTAACGCTAAATTTGTGAATGATGCACCGAAGCAACGCTAGTTACTTCATATTATATTCTATGATACGAGTAGATTTGCAAGTATTTCAGGAATATCAAATATAAAAAACACTTATGTTCATAATGTGTTATGGTACTTTTTAATATCGAAGAAATTCAAAATTACCTTTAAAACTGTGCATGAATGATCTTTGAAAAATTTGAAAATATTCCAAAATATTTGTTATGCTGATTAAAGCAGCTTATTTACTTCAATTTACTGTTTTTAATTTGCGATAAATATTGTGGTCCGTTTTCACATCGTGTTACTCATTAACGTTTCGGCCATAGCCTTGCACAGTTTTGGCGTCGCATTTGCCACATTTCTAGCGTTATTTTTAACGTCAAATCATATCTAGAAATGCTTATGATCAATGGAACAAACTGTAATTAATCTTAGAAATATCAATGATTTACACTCGTCATAATTATGTTCTCATATTTGAAAGGCCCATATTAGTCATCAAAAAGGAAAGCGATCACTATTTAGTGCTTGTACACTATATGACTTGTGTAAAGTTATATAAAAGTGGCATGTGAATAATGCTAACCTTCCATCAAAAGTGAACATATGTGGATCGCTATGGGCGTAGCATTTCTTCCCGTCTACTGACAGTGTGTCTGATGTCAATTGTATCTGGAATTAAAGCAATGCATTGACCCTTTTTAATATATGTAAGAGATTCTTTAACATTAACTGATATACCGCTTGCTCAATATACTACTTGGCAAGTTACTTTTGGTATAATATCTTTAGTTAATACAGTAATAAATATCATAAGTGTTTTAAAAAATATCTTAGGATATACATGTAATAAATGTTCTCCTCCGAATTAAAAGTAAAAAAAAACACAAAGAATTTACACTCAACTACTTACATGAATAGGATCAGGTAGATAGTTATCGAATATGGCGTGGCCGAATGGAACTGAGTACAGTTGCAAGGCAAATATTCTGTTGAATTCTCCAGGCTGTGCTCCAATTTCGCCCGAAATAGTTAATGGTTTCCAAATGCCATTCTTAACATCGTCGTTTGTGAATACCACTCCGCAAGAATTTCTTACGTTTTGCCTTAAAACCACTTGTGATAGTTTACATTCATTAACGGAGGGAATAAATAAAACGAATCGTATAAAACCATCTTTAGTAAAGGTAAAAGGTACTGTAAGGCGCATTTGCACCTTTTCAGCCGAATTCTTATCAATACTAACCCAGCTGTTATTGCTCACCTGAAAGTACATAAATCAATATAATGAAATAAGTCAATTGTAAACAAGTATTCTAATCAATTTCTTAAACATAATTTACTTTTTCATTTTATCTTTGCTCATAATTTTTCATTATTATTATTTGGGAAATTTTAATTAACTTATAAATCAAAACAAAACACCACATGTTTAGCATACTGAAAAGTCAATTAATTGTATAAAAGATTTTATAAGAGAATATCTAAGTTCGATAAATGATTCTCAAAAAGCTTATATCAAAATTATCTTTAAATCTGTAAATCTGTTTAAGGATAAATGTGACATAAGAGACAACAATCACAAATAATGCAGCGTGCAATACTGACCTCAACTCCACAGAATTTCTTGTTACTGACTTTGCTTTCACTGTACATACCACCTAAATCAACTTTTGCTTTGAAAGAGCACGCAAGCTGAAAAGCATTGTATAATAATCTTCAAGACCTTTTTGCAGACCCCTTATAGTATTATATAAATTTAACAGTTGGTATAGCTTTTAATTTTTAGGAAAAGGCAAAGAAATTGAAAATTGAAATGAATAGTTACACCTTCTGCACAAGAAAATATATTTTCTAGATATAAGAAAGTCAGAAATGCAAACATATGTTATTGGACTTTTGATCAAGAAATATATTGATTGTTGAACATGTACTTACTTTTGATATAGATACTTACCTGTTGAAAAGATAACTTAATTTTGCTATAGAAAACTGAACATTCATTAAAGTTCTTACAGAAAACCCAAGTTTTTCAATTCCATATGACTTGAGATGTGATTCTCTGAGCATAGTTGCTGATCGAAATGCGTGAGTGGATACATATTTTATCTCTTTATATGACTTGATTTTATTTGCCAAGGATAATCCAGTTGATAAACTCCAATCGATATCATAATAATATGGCTCAGACGGTCCATTAAAGATGCAATAAAACACCAATTCTTTTGCATCAAAGATGTCCACTTCTACAACTGGAATTGGCACAGAACTCATGTCTGGCGCAGGAGTACCTATTTAGAAATGCGAATATGTAACTAAACTCTGTAAAACCATGTCCAAACTAAAATTAACCTGCATAAATTAGTTACATCAACTACTGACACCGCAAACTTATTTCATTTATGTGATTGATTCTATATCAACTAAAGCAGTTTAATAAAGCGAAACATGTATAGATAAACTGTGTTGGTTTATCAATCTTTTTATCATACTCAATACATGTTATCCATTAACACAAATTAAAAATACAAAGCTTTAGTAAATTGTTTGCCCGTTTTGTTTTGTTTCTTTTCTAAGTCTAAATATCAGATATATTGAGTATTTCAAGAAGGATATATTAATCATTTATCAAAAGATGAAGCACGGTTAGAGTAGCATTAGTAGTTATGTATCGGTTGGTAAGGTAGTTATCTGTAGTTTACTTTTGAAAAGAGCATTATTCAAATTTGCACGTTGTCGGAAATCAGGCATTAAGAATATACATCATTTGAAATGCCAAAACGTATACACTAATGTATAATGGAAAAAAACATCCATCATGCTTTGTTTTATAACAAAAGAAGAAATATATTAATTTGAATTCATTTAAATATCTCATGTAAAACACCCAAACAAAAACGGAAAAGTGACCAATTGTTTGAGGTGTTGCAGTTAATGGAATCGAAAGCATTATAATAATATAATTAGTATAAGCTGAAACAATGTTTTTCATAATCGATATTTAAATAAGATTATGTACATCTTAGTGTAAATGAGGAATGTAAAGTTAAAAGTCAATATAACTTTACATTTTACCACAATTGTTCTTGAATTTATATTTTACCTGGGACATACGATATCGTATGTCCCAGATTTTACTATGCAAAAATAACCAATTACCTGCGTGACTGACTGAAAATTTCTTTCAATATCGTTCGGAATTCAAATGTAAAAAAAACACAGACAAACGAGAAAGACAGTCTTTCAACAATTTTGTTTTCATATTTTATCCTAAGCATGTGCCTTTAAAATTATACAATGGTCACCAATAGTTACAGACCAGCTTGTGAAATACAATATCATTCAGCTCGAATTGACTGTGGAAACAAATGAGCATTATGTTGCTGAGATATTTTAAACAAGATCAAAAAAGATAATATCGCAATAGCAAATCTATGATTCTACTGTGATGACACGTTTTCATTTATCTAAATAACAATAATAGTTACCGCCGTTGTTGTCAGGATCCTCTGTACAAAACAAAAACAGAAATATATTATATATATAGTTTATTATCATCTCAAATTTGTCAAATTGGAATCAAAAAGCGTTTCAAAAGTTTATATTAAATTATAGAAGTTTTCGGTACTCCATTAAAGATTATATTATATCTTTCACCGAAAAAAATTGAATAAGATAATACAGCTTTAAGTTTTAAATGGGGTTGACATCATTCAGATTCCTATTACAAATTATATAATTAATTTTAAGTTATAAACAGCTGTGTGTGTCTATGACTCACTTAAACAATATGCCTCCGAGCAACCGTTCGGTGGAATTAGGTAAAACACATAGTTCCCGTTATCGCACAATTTAGTCAATAGTTCCATGGTTTCAGCGCAAGCGTTGTGAAGTGTATTTTTACAAGCTGTAATTGTGGTTTCGACATTTGGTGTCTGAGGAAGAACACCTGAAATATCATATATAAATATTATAAACAATTAAGTACGGTCTTGAGAAGATATATGTATATAAAATAACAACAAGTAAAATGGTTTCCTGCGGGGAACATTTTTAATGATATAAAGATATTTCATTTAACTATTTTCAACATTGTTTAGGGGGATAAATAAACGTTTGTATCAGGAATATAGCTAATAATAATCGATCAATATAGAAGAAGTTCTTTGGAAACTGGTACCCGTTGAAGACCGGAGAAGGCCGAACATAAACAATTATTTCTTTTTAAGAAAATGATTAAATATGCCTACCATTTTATGACTAATTCCGAGCAAAAAAAAAATAATTTAAACACACAAGTTTACGCAGAAAAAATCTCTATTTATTATGCCAGATGCCACTACGAATATTTTAATTGTGTAGGTTTTCAGCATAAACAATTTATTGTTTATAAACATTGAGATAGATATTAAAGAAACATTGAAATTTTCAAACACATCATTCAAGTTTTTCCACCTTAAACTGTAAAATAATTATAGAAAATTAGAAAAGAAATACAACATAATCGTTTTTTGTTCTTAATTAGGGTCATTACGGACTATGACCCTAGAGGTAAATCCGTAACGTACCGGCGCAAGGTATTTAGCTAAGTTTTCGAAAAGGTCAATTAACCAATCATATACGGTTTACAGATCACATGCTCCTCCATGTACCGAAAAAAGGTCACGTGCTCCTCCATGCCTCAAAAGTTAAACGCGTAACAATACCCTGCGGTCTCCAGACCGCAGGGAATAAACGTGAAACTATGCTATGCACTAATACCAGCAATGTTATAAAACACTTCGGCTTGAATATTTTTGATGCCTCTTAATTAATGCAATACATTTCATCAGATACTGTTACTTTTATATTTTGTTTCGCTAACTTTGTTCGTATTTTGTCGGATATTGTTCAGCTAGTATTTTGACCAATGGATTGTTGGTTACTAAAGTACTTGACAGCCGAGGGTAGTCTAGTTAAATAGGTAAGTAATTCATCATAATACACATGCGTATATTTTAGCTCAACTATAACGAAATGAGTAGAAGCAGGGTACTAGTATATTGGAACTATAATATCACCTGTGTATGGATGAGATATCGATATCAAACTTGCATATTCATGTTGATTGCCGGCAAGTTTAACTCCGATTCGGTACATTTATTATTTTTGCAAAGGTTATAGTTACGTTCACTGCAGATATTTGTATGAAAATGAAATACTTTGTCAATTTATTTGTTTGGGTTGTTTTTGTTTCAGTGCAGGTTTGTATTAGTAAAAAGACTTACCCGTCATATACCAATTATAAGTCGTTTGACATGGATCAGAATTATCTGCTAAAACATACTTTCCCATTGAATACCATCCTTCATCCAAAAAATAATCGCAAATAGGGGTAGCTTCATCTGATATTGCATTTCCAACAAGCCTCTCGGATATATAACTAAGGGTCACTGCATTATCACACTGACCATGCGAATATCCTGTCATAACGACAAAAAGAATAATGTAATTTTTAGCTTGTTTCACTTAATGACGAATGTCATTTTTATGCTGAAGTGCTATAAGTAGAAAATGTATTCAATGTCTGCGTCAAACGATCAATGTATCAATCCTTTTCTTCTTTTTTTAAACTACATTTATTGCTTCTTTATTTTAAGAAAATGGTACGTACGCAATTAAAACTATTGAATTAATGTAGATAACATAAATTTTGTTTAGAAATATTTTCAGTTTTCAGTGAAAACGTAAAGTTGTGGATTATATAATTATGTATCGTGGGCAAACCAGTTCTCAAACCTCTAAGCATTCAAGAGGTATTTTAGTATAAATAAGAATAAATCTTTATCAAAATTCTTTACATATGTACACTTGAATCTTTATGTAACATTTCTGTAAAATTTGACTGAAATTCAACAGTTAAAAAAAGCTCTTTTTCCATCCTTGAAAAGCACAACTCTCTTTTATAAATTTGACATGGCCTCATAAAAGAAAGAACCTAATCTCAAACCCCTTCAAGAATCTCTGAAATTCTACTGTTTAGTTAAGCCATTGAAGTGATTATTATATGAATATCACATGACAATGAAGTACCCTACAGGATGCAGCTACCTGCTTGAAGATGTTTTTATCTCTAATAATCATTTTACAAAAAGTTTATGGTGTATTTACAGGACTTACAAAAGTAATAGCAATTTGTATGAAATTATGCTAAGTAATAAGATATTTAATGTAAATATTTCTTACAATGCACTGTTTTAATTAAACAGCAGCAGACATGTCTGTCAGAAACTAAGCTTTAATGCCCACAAGTTGAGGACATCATAGTCACTTCTAGTAAATATATAACAGCTCATGAATGAAAGGTTTGAGAATAGGTTGGGTGTGAGATTAGGTACTTATACGATAGTATTTTGAAAAAAAAAAGGAAAATGTAAAATTTTCTTATCATAAGGGTGAAAGATGGTGTAATTATATTATATCTTACATGTATTCCATTTAATTTAGCCATTTGAATATTTTACTTCAGAATATTTATTTCGTTTGACAGTTCGAAAACAAATACTCTACACGTTCACTTTAGGTAGTCACAAGTTGTTTTTTTTTATTCTTTTCAGTGTTAAAATATCTTTAATTTGATAAATACTTCTACATTTCCAATTTTGAAAAAAGAACCAATTATATTATATTATATTTTGTAATTTTGAATTTTGGTCAATTTTGTTCCGTGAAAAATTTTATGTAAATTAATTGTACTCCAAGACAGTGGTTAATCTTTTACGAAGGGCTTTTTTCTGTATGTAATTTGTGTTTAAATTCAAAATTTGAAACGATTTAACCAAATTTCTGTAAATTTCTCTTTTTTGAATTATCATCTCTTTCCACAATCTGTTGTTATTATCATCAAATATTCTTTTGAATTAGCTTGATTAAATTCAGTTAGTTAATATTGGCAAGTTTATCATATTCAATCCTCCAGAATTAAATCCTTGTAAAATAATATCCCTTGGGCTCTTTGGCTATATAATTTCAAAATACTTTTTTTAATTGTTTTCCTAATTTCTTCTCATGGACACGGAAGAACGGTTATTGCTTAGGTGATTTTCATAATTAAGGGCTGTAACATGAAAATATAACCATCTATTTATGTCTGCTTTAGATTGATTTAATTTGCTTTTATAAATCAGTTTGATTATTAAGTTACATATTGTATGGAACTTTATGCCATAGGTTTCTGCCAAACTATATTTGTATATTGTATTCCTACAATAAATTAGATTTTAAATTGAGCCTACTCTTAGAAATGAATATTTTTCATAATCGAAGACTTGCAGGGAATTAAAGAAAATTGTGCAAATAAATACATGGTTTCTTCAAAGCTGTTTAATTAACCATTGAATAACAAAACTGCCTCGCCAGCAACATGCTTTTTTAACTTTTACATCAAAAACTCTAAAATCTTTAATACTGTGTTTTCTTTCTAATTTACAGTCACTCTTTATTTTCTTTCCTTGCCAGTATAAGTATGTTATTTCTCGCTTCATTAAGAACTGAATATGTTAGGTAAAAAAAGATCTTTTTTTTTTACTTTATGACTGTATCGTTCGTTTAGTTTTTTAGTTTGAATGTGTGGGAAGCTGTATGCATATAAATACACAACAAACTTAGTTTGTACTGCATTGTATGTACTGTTGATGTTTTGCAAATATTGATTTTGAAAAACCAATGTTGCCAATATCGAAAAATATAGGAAATATTTGTAAACTTTAACAAGAGGCAGTTTCATGTCATTAAAATGTTATTGTCCGTTAATGTGTTTTATGTGTTTAACACCTTATCTCTTTTTAATTGTTATTTTATGCTTATATTACTTAATCCATCGTTATATTTGTACTCATCTTAGTTATAATTCTGAGCGCATTTCATCCATCCGAATTCCTAACAAGTATTAGCGATCTGTACTTTTCGAGACTTTTTATAAAATACTAGTTACTAATTTGAGTGTATGTCAAAACCTGTATAAATCAAAGTCACTTGATATATTATATACAGAAATATAATTCAGTTACGTATCATCATTCTTTTGTTCAATACAATTCTTAATACATTGTCAAACAAAGTTAAAAATAGAAAATAGGCATAATTCGGTTTATTCCATTAAGAATTTTAAAAAAAAAATACATTTTGAAAACATACACCAATTACGACTTGTTCTAATTAAAAGCATTAAGTATAATTACCTATCGTAGTCAGTAAAAGGATCAGCACGTATATCCCTTTTTCAACCATTTCTGTCATATGACTTGTGCCGTTGCCAATGCTGCCTGAAAAAGTATTTTATGCATTTCCATTGTTCCATGTTTTATCACGTGACTAACATATAAGCAAATCAAAATTAATAAAAATCCATGAATCAGATACTAAAAAAATCACAAAATTTGTTAAGTCATATCACAATATCAGATAATCGTCCAATGTTTTACTGTAGTCATAAACAAAGACTTTGGAATAGTCAAAGTTCTAAATTTAGTTTTACTGTACCAGTGTCTTTGCATTTATTGGATAATGCTTACTTCAACATAAGAGCGCAATTTGCCATATATCTACATAAAACGTACTTTGGCATCAATACATATATAAGGAAATTATTATGTCATTTCTAACCCTAAATATGCGTCATTGTCTTAATTTATTCATTTATTGCATAAATAGCGTTTATATTCATACGAAATGTAAAAAAAGAGAAATTTATAGACACTTCACAATATTAACAACCCCATTGAGCACATATAATTTACCAGCAATACGATGCACGTTTAAGTATCGAGTACCACAATGTACCATCTCATTTTGTAATAAACTTCAATAAAACACATCATGAGATTATCATTGAATTGTAATTACACCAATAAATTGTTACAATTTAAACACTTTGGTGTATGTCAGACCGTTTCGATAGCTTAACAAACATCTCCTAGAGGTGAGAAATGACGGCAGTAAATAACTAAAATGTGACATGGATAAATAATCTTTTATTTTTTATAAAACAGTTAACACAATTTGTGCCAGAAAGATATACCAATTGATAACAATATATGATAAGTAACGGTAAAACGCCATAGCGTATAGGACAATTATACCTATAGTTTGTGACAATGATGCGTTGGACTGCGATGGCGAATAATTGTATTCTGTTCATTCTGGCAATCTCAGGTAAGATTCACCTTGCATATTTAACGATTTATTTTGAAAAAAAATAATATGAAGTTATAATGACAAAGAATCTTTGGGTTGTTGTTTGTTTGTTTTCATTTCTGTTGTTGTTGTTTTTTTTCCAATAGGTTTCTCTCGTGTCGATTCATAATTTCACATTTTACACATTCATACTAGAAATAAACTATTATACAGCGTTTGAAAAAAATCCATACTTTTCACTGTCCAAAGATATGCTTCAGCAAAGTATAAGACATTTAATATATGTGAAAAAGAAGTTAAGGTAGTTTGCTACTTTCCGACCTAAATTTGAGAAAATCTCAGATCTTAATGATTTTTGGTAAGCAAACATGTATATTTGAAGTCTTAACTTTTTATTGCATAAATATTTTCCATCTCGATTTCACTACATGCAAAGTTCACCGTGTTGATTTTTTTTTTTTCATTTCACAATTGTTATTGCGATGACGTGAGATAATTTCAACAGATTTGTACGTCTAAGCGGAGGAAAATTAGCCGTGAAATCGCAGTAAATTCAGCAAAGTTAAAAGAAAGACATCAATGTAAAGGCATACGTCAACTGAACATAATAAAATTGGAACAGAGAAAATAGAATGAGAATTTTTTTAAAATGTCGTTTTATTGATATAAACTCGCAATTCCGCCACATTTCCGTCTGTCTAAAATTTGTTCTTAGTATTCGTGCACGTATGTATGCGCATATGTGTATGTATGCTCTGTCAATCAGGCACGTAGTTTAATTATTGTTGTTATTTGTGTTGTTCGTCGTGTCGTGTCATTTGTCTCGTTAAAATGAAAATGTATGTATTATTAAAACATTAAAAACAGCTGGCATTGAATTATAATTGACAAAACAGACAAAAATCTAATTAAAAGTAACAAAAAAGTGTGCCGAAGAACATTGGTTATCATTTCCTTTTTTTAATAACAGAAAACTGCTACTTAAGCCGGTTTTTTTTAATGTGAAGCATTTCTTTTGTTTCTCGCAGGATGTCTCGGAGATCCTTGCCACGTATCAAATCATTCAAAGTTTCCAGATGATCGTTTAGGGTCAAGAAATCTGAACTGTACACCTTCTGACAATATTCCACTATGCGATTATTTTCTGATAGAAGATTGGTATGTCATTGACAATGCGGTATTATCAAATAAATGCCCAAAGGACATAGGAACTTGTGGCGTGACTTATCCCGTCTTTCTTGATGGTAAAGATTAATGTAAAAATATTTCAAAAATAAAGCAGAGCTACGAGGGTTGTCCAAAAAATTCGTGCACTGCAGTTATTGTCGTCAGAGTTATTGATAGAAAAACATGATTTATATATCACTTGAAGGAGAAATCTGTCTCAAATAAGAAAACAAAAGAAAAAGACGTGTAACTGGCATGTCGTGTAAAAGAATAGTCATACAGCTACCTTGGTAACGTAAAACCGGCACACGACAAAAATTGGGTTAGTTCATTAATTTGGTGCATCACAGTATTCTTTAAACACTACATATAAATGTTAAAATTCAGGAAAAAGTGTGTGTACGTATTCCTAACGTCACTAGAAAATATGACGTCATGTGCCCTGTTGTAACGGTCAAAAACAAACATTTGTGTGTGGTCGCCAATACTGTATTTACGTGAAAATGTCAGTCGCTAAACGTCTGGAAATACGGACGATCATTAAATTGTTTGTAAATATTGGTATAACACCAACAGATACCTGCACAGACCTTAAAAGGGCAAGCGGGACAAGTTCAGTGTCACGAAGGCTGGTTTTTGAATTTCACAAACGCTCTGTAGAAGGGCGAGAGTCGGTAGACGATGACAATCGGTCAGGCAGACGTCCGTCCGTAATGCCGGCGCATGCGACGAGGGTTGTCCAATATGTTCGTGTACTGGTGGAATATGTTACATGTACGTTGTATAAGAACAATAAAAGCTACAAAATACTTTGCATCAATCATTCGTCTATTGACAGTAAAACAAATTATAACATAAAAAGTAAATGCCACTTTACAAGCAACAAACAATAAATACATGTACAGTAATGAACTAACCCAATTTTTTGTCTTGCGCCGGTATTACGTTACTAAGGTAACTAAATGACCATTCTTTTACACGACACGCGGGTTACTCGGCTTTTTCTTTTGTTTTCTTATTTGAGACAGATTTCCCCTTCATCTGATATATAATTCATTTGTTTTTACTAATAACTCTGACGACAATAACTGCAGTGCACGAACTTTTTGGACAACCCTCGTATCAGAACATTTCTTATATCATTAGACTTTACTCATTAATCATAGAACAAAAAGTTTTAAATCTTATACAGTTAAATATTTACCCATAGCAAATATGAAAAATGTCCTTGAGTAAATATGGAGATAACAAACCAGTGTAACCAGAAGCATTCTGTTTCCTTTAACAATATGAAATGAACAAGCATCACATGATCTTGAGTAGTAACGATACATTGACAAAAACATATTTTTTAAGGTGAATTTCCTGATGTTTCTGATGGGATAGTAGGGCGATCAGCTTGTATGGTTGAAGGATCTAACTGTTGCGGCGAGACTATACAAATACAAATTAAAAACTGTTCTGGCTTTTATGTTTACCACTTAAAGCCATTAGACAAGTGCTCCAGCGCATATTGCTTTGGTAAATATTGAACTTCATACTTTTTTTCTTACACTTACCGCATATGTGTATCTTTACATCGTATACTTCTAAAAAGTTCTTTTCCGTTTCATGGCAGTTTATCTTGAATTATGACTCATCGGAATATTATAATATTATGTAATAAAAACAGTCTCAACTTCATTTCAATTAATTTATATAGAGAAGGGATTCAAGGCATCAAAACAGTAAATATATATTTTTTTAATGTATCCTTCATTTCACTTTGATTTCAGAGTCAACTCTTCCTTGTATTGAGACGACAACAACCAGTATGTGAAGTGTACTTACCAATTTATTTACAAAAAAATGCAAAATTGTCCACCTTTATTTGTCATTTAAAAAAATGATATTAATATCCAAACGAGTTTTTTTATGACATAAGATAAACATTTATACATTTGTATTAAATTTGATATTTAGTTTAGTAAAATCTGAATAGTACATTGTCTTTACTTGTTAAAATACATGTAACTTTCAATTATTTTTTTTCTTAGATAAATGTCATTCGAAAATCAAACTTTTCAAAATTTACTATGTTAACGGGGTTTTTTTTGTATTTTTTTTAGTATTATTATTATTTGATTTATTTTTGAAATACATGTAGTGTATTACTTGTGTATAATACTCATTATAATAATTGTAATTATTAATGTTAGCAATTTCATTTTTAGGTACGACATTGGCTGACAAAGATAATGGCGATAATGGAACTGATGGTAATATTACAGAAAAGGACTCATTAAAAAATGTTATTTTTGATTTTCAATGTATAACCTCTCTTAATGAACTTTGATATTTACTTTTGTCAATTTAAATGGCATATGATTGCTAAATTCTAACAGGAAATTTTATAATTATAAAAAGTGTGTCATCATGTAAATTAGTAATATGCTTTTCTATTTTATCGCAAATGTATTGATATCAAGAAGACATGTATCAATGTTAAAAACTAATTTACTTTTATTGTATTTTATTTAAACTAGATAGCGCCGTTCTTATTGGAACAACAGTTGGCGTCGGGGTGATTCTTTGTTTAACAACAATAGTCGTTGCAGTTGTTATCCTCAAAACTGGGTAAACTATATAAACGATCATAGTTGAACAAATGTATCTTTTGTTAGTAGAATAAAATATGTAAAACATTATTTGTTTCCTTGACTTATGAAATCTTTTATTACAACTTTACAGAAACATAACTGTTACTGGGTTTAATTATATTTATTTATATTAATTATAAATTTATTATTATTATTATTTATTTTCTTTCTTTATTTTTTTTCTTTCTTTGAGTGGGTGTAGATTTCATTTCATGTGATGCATCTCAACAATCTCAACAACAGTGTACTCTTCTTGTAAAGAGAGTATCTTTGTGCAAATTGAAATAATATCTAAATGTACACACTCTATTTTCAGTTGGGGGAAAACGCAAACATCGTCCAGTCAAGTTATTCCTTCCAATGTTAAAAATGTTAACAGTGAAAAAGTACATGGGAAACTTGCAAGTGAAAAAAACATTGTTTGAAGCAAAGGCAAAGGCCAAGCATGGAGAAAAAACTCTGATATTTACAGGTATTATCTCTAGATGTTTCATCATATGTTCGTAATATCGAGCAAGATCTTTGTGCACTTCATGTACATATTGTTCAAGATTGATGTAAAGATTCGACTTATTTTGTCTTTTTATTCTATTTATCCATCGTATTGTTTTTTGTTGATTTGTTTTGTTGTTGTTGTTGTTTTACAGTGCTGTATGGAAACATTCCTTGCATTTTTTTAAAAAAAAAAAACTAGTTTTTAATAATTGTTTAGAATTATACACCAATTTGTTACATCATCTTTATATTATGACATTTCATTTATAACTTGGAATAAATTTATTCATCTATATGTTCTTATTATTTAATTCCTTTATTCATAATGTCCTTGTTATAAAGTAAAAGTACTGAAGGTACTGAATGTCAAATGATTCATAAATCCATAAGCGCGTCACCGGCATGCATCAGGCAGGCCATCAGAACACGTAGATTTCATCCCACTTCTTACATTGTGATAATAAATTGTTTAATAAAGTAAGATTTAGTAACAAAATAGACAGTTTATTGATAACGTTACAATAATCTCAATTAGGGTGAGAGTTCTTCAATAATTGACACCAGTCCTGTTTATAAAATTAGCTGCTCCAAAAAAAAGTTGATATAGGGCCATAATTATAACCTGTCAAAAATCTTTATAGCTAATAATATTTACGACCGGCTAATGTCGGAAATGCTTTGTAATTAATAACTCAGGCCTATACGCTTTTAAACTCGAATAGTACATTTTTTTACTACAAGGCTCTCAAAAAAGATACCTTTTTCCTTATTATATCCGGTGTAAGACCTCATACAATGATATTTTTTTGCAAATGACGTTGATAAAGTCCTGATCTCGACAATATATCCGCTTTCTCCCTCGTCCCTTTTACTTTGAATTGATTTTGCCAATTGGACACGAGGATCATGCAGGCCGATTCATTGCCCCTCGTTAACTCAACTTGCTCGTATGTATCCTAACCCATAAGCAAACTTCAACTGTCGTGTAGAACATAAGAAAATGGTAACAAAGAATTATGAAGAAAAAATGAACAAAATGCAGAAAATGTTATCAAATTGGAAAATAAAAGAAATTTAATTCCTATTGGAATAATCATAGTCGTTAAATCTATTGTTACCTATATTTACACATTTATTTACAACATTGCCAAATCCAAATCGTTATATTATAAAAAAAACTTAAAAGAAACTTTCAGAGAATTTGTCAATGTAAAATGAAGCCAGAGGTCTAAAGGCAAAACACTGATAAAGGTGGTCTTGAAGTGATTAACGTTGACATGAAGCATATATATACTCATAAAAGATATATAGTATTGGATATGACGAATTTTAATCAACAATAGTAAATGGATAAGTTTGGCATGCTCAATATTTGATATGAAGAAATTGAAGTATTAAAAGATTCAAACCTTCAACGGTTCAGTACATAATTATTTGCAGAGTAGAAGCAACTAATACAATACTTTTAAATCAAAAGGTAATGGACTCAGTAGTTTTTTAAAAAAAATTGAGATGGAATGATTAAAACATCTGTTTTGGTATTGTTCGGTAAGTACTTCAATATTTCTGTTTTTGAAAAATTAAGCATTTTCAGACCTTGCAACAACTGTTGTTACTTTAACCAAGGTTGAAAGATATTAACAAACACACGCGCGCGCACGCACAAACACACAAATTAACGATCACGTGATATATTTTTTCCTGAATGGGAGTCATATTTCTCAATTTACGCTATTGACCACTGCTGTTCAAAAAAATTGTGTTTAGCCATTAAATTTTCAAATGACGTAGAATTTCAGAATTATGTAAGACGTTTTTCTGCATTTTCACGCAAAAATGAACGTTTTTTAAATATCTGGGAAATAAGATAACGGTATGGCCCAGGTTGTATGAACATATCGGCGTGCGTCGATGTTGCGTTCAGATGCATGCCTGGACTCAACTTGTTGATATGCACAATAGTTAGGGGTCCGGTGAAAAAACTACACTCAGAAAACCGTAGATGCTTTTGAAGAATAAAAATACAAATATCCAAAGTCAGTTCAAACTTATCGTTTAAAAGAACAAATACCGTACAATTTCCTTTCAATTTATTAAGTGTGGAGAAATGAAAGTTTCTGTTCAACTGAAGTGACCTACAAACCATTTTTTCAACGTTGAAACTGACCCTGATAATTTTCCAAAGTTGAGAATCTTAATTCAAACAATTTACAACATTTTCTTATCAATTTCAAATGTTAGTTTTATTAAATATTTGAAATATTCGACTTCAACTTCAGATGTTAAGATTTGATCAAATTAGGTTGTTTTAAGTGAAGTGATAAAACATACACGAGCCTTAACTTAAAATAAAAAGTGGGTTTTAATGAGCAGATGCGGAATTTATGGATGATATATACGGCCTTGTTTCAATATAAGTTGTGGAAGTATTAGTTTCAGTCTAAACGATGGCCTTCCATGCATAAAAATAGTAATAATCAAAATAAATCGACTTGAATAAATATTAAGTATATATCATACATTGAATTACTGAAAACAAAATGTATAGGTCACCTTTCGTAGATAATTACATCTAATTTAGCTTTTCCTCGGCGGTAGCTTGTTTGGAAATCCTTATGAATTATGCATTCAATTTAATGAAATATATGTAGGCAATATAAGATTAAATTCCTAACAATATATTTTGCCAAATTGCTCACTTAAAACTGATGTGCACAAGGGACAAGGTACCATGACCCGAAAAAAAGTCTGAGGTTGAAAATAGTTTTTTCTCTTTTACATTCTAATGCTTTTATGCATTCATTTTTGTCCTAATTATTGATTCAATTTTATGGGTAATATTTCCATTATATTGCGTTTTAAGTGTTTTCTAATGTTCTTATTTTTCAATCCATTGTACGCATCTACGTTCACGTGTGTATGCCTAGGTACGCACTTGGCGTTGCAATGCTTATATAAGTGCATAATATATTATAATTTCATTTGTATATTTTTATTTAATTTTCAGAATTTTTATAAATAATTAAAATAATTAGATTAATGTTATACATTGATTTTCTTTTATCAATTTTTAAAACAACCTGAGTCTTTGAAGGAGAAATATAGCGCAATAAATCAGAAAAGGGAAAATCTAAATTCAATTCTAACAACTAAAATAGAATTGACAAACGCATTTTATAAAATTTTCAATTACTATTCAATTTAACATGCATGGTACATAGCAGAGGTTATCTGTAAGGAAATCTTTCTGCCTTCTAACTGATTTGATTCAGATGCTGTTAAATTCTGGTGAAGAAGTAGGGGAAATATGTAATTAGCATTACTTGGGGAAAATATACCTATTTTGGTCTAGGGGAAACAGCGTTTTTTCGGATGTAAAATACTGGGAAAAAAATCATTATTATAAATAAGTGTACCTTGTATAATCTACACATTATTATTTGCTTCTAAAATCAGATTGTTTGGCTATACATTGTTAAAAATTGTATATTTCTAGTAATACTATGTATGCTAACATATATATTTTGTCAGCAATTTATATTAATAAAGTAATTGAAGGCCTTAAACTAAAAAAAATATAACAACACAAATATTTCATCTTGTCATTTCTTAATTTTAAGGATTTTTAAATGGGGAGAATCGTCACTTAATTGGGGCGAGTCGTTATGGGACGAAACGTTATCAATATCCCTGAATTATCTCCCTTTATTTAATTTACGCCATTTTAACCGACACTTTTTGTTTCCCTTGTTTTAAAATGAGAAACTTTTGTCTTGGTAATTGTGCCATTGAAATTACATGTAGCTGCTGCAACGTCCAATTTTCGTGCATGTGCTCTCTTCATTTACATTTTGTCAGGGATAAAAATGTTACTAAATACACGATAGACGTAGGTTCATTTACAGCAAAAATTTTTGAACAGCGCGAGAACATTGTTGAAACCACCGGAAATAAAACAGGTTTTAACAAAGAGGATACAGTGTATAGCCCTCAAGTAGCGATAAGTGTAGATCAGCAGTCACATGACGGTAGTAAGGAAGGGTTAGCGATAATTAGCGTGTCAGATGCAATTTCTACAGAGTCAACTCCATGTATAGAAAGCGAAGATTCTTCAAAAGAAATACAAGGAAAACTTGAAGGCACTAGTTATGTAGAGTTAAACAGTCCGCAACAACTTGAATATGGTGATAATTATATGGATGCTGAAGAAAGTGATAAACATGATACATCAAGGAAAGATCTTCATACTTTGCAGTTGAATGCTGATATTGTTGACAAAAATACAATCTTATGGGATCACTGTGAGTATGATTTTTCATTATTTTTTTTAAATAATCATTTACTTAATGCAACAATTCACTTAGCAATCTTTGCAAAACAGATCAATTTTTTTTTCAGTTGAATCCGGGGTAATATAAAGGGACAAATAACTGCATGTATACCTAATAGATAATCAGTTGACATGTAATTGACTCTCTATTGATCAATAAACATAGTGTTTAATTTCTACATGTATGTATGTCGTTATTATGAAATCATAGATTGATGAATTTCTGAAACATCATGTAAAGACCATCGCAATACTAAAATATTACTTAAATCTGATGCCAGTTGGCTATATCTTTTTTATTTACAATGTTTAGAAAAACTTTTTACTTGAATCAACAAGACAAATTGTGGGGATTGTACATCCCAGATTGTACTAAGAGACTAACCTCTTCTAACTTTCTATCATTTCTTGTATATTTCTTTTTCTTGACCTAGCACCACCCGTCGCGTCATAATCAAGTGTGATTGTGCCGACGTACAATGTAGATGTAGATGTAGATGAAGTGCCACTGAACTTCAGATGCTTGTCCTGTTATGTTATGTCCAAGGTTAAAATTATGCCATGTAATTAAATGAGTACTGGGATCCTACATATTACTGGACAAAATATGATGTTTTTTCACTGTTACTTTTAATTAAAATAATAAAAAAGATTGAAATTTTACCCAAATAATTGTGGGTTCTTAATTTACGCAGACATTCCTTTATCAAACATAAAAATTAAAATTAAACATTTGACCGTGGAGATGTGTCTTTAAAGTAGGGCATTAAAAGAGGGAAAAATCGTGTAGACAACTCAATTTACCGGACATTGTGTTTCAATTTTTTTTAAGTCTTAAATTGAAATTATTATTAAGCAAGGAAACTACGACTATTTCAAATGGCAATGTTAAGATACTGGAAAAAAATCAGTATGTCACTAAAATAGACACGGCAGCCATGCTTGTTATGAAGAGGCCAATATAGGGGTGTAATTGAAATTAACACTTTTATCTCAATTAACATATTGATCTTTCATGATCCTTAAACGTATGAAACATTTTGATTTTCAAATGGAATTCTGTTCTTTCTCATACAGTTTCCCTTTGGTCATCATGTAGCATGTTGCAAAAACCATAAAATCTCTTTTTGTACATCTAGAGTTTCCTCCCATGGGCGTTACCCGTTTCCTTATATGTTTTTTTAATTTGCATTTCTTTGTAAAAGACAACAACGAGATATTGTTTGAACGAAATTTAGAATTACTTTTTTATCATTAAAATATGTGACGATTGTCTCCTGAGGTAACGTTGAAAAGAATTAAAAGTAAAACCTATCTAAAATAACCCATTTAGGGCCTCAATATTCGGGAATGTGCAGAACAGATTATTTCCCCGCATGACCAGGTCATGGAATAACTAGTAAACAAAAGGGTATGTTAGTTAATAAAGAACTGAATCAACAATATTTGCCCGAGAGTGGTTTTGTTGTTCTTTACTACGAAATAGAAAGTGTGTGTACGATTCAGACCATATGATTTTTTAATCAAAGCAAAAATAAAGCCTTATTTGGCAGGAAAAGATTTTGTCCGGTAAACTGATTGGCTGGTAAACAATTTGTAAGGTCTCAGTGATTTTTTTTTCACTGTATTTTACAGCCGAATAAAGGCTGTTTCTCCTAGCCAAAAGTATTTTTTCCCCTAAAAATGCTTATATTGTCCCCTAAAATGCCTCGTGCTATTTTGTACCAGAACCTTAACATACCAGCATCTGGCTTATATCAGCTAGAAGAAAACAATCTTTCCCTATAGATAGCCTCTGCTATGTACCATGCATGTTAAATTGAATTGAAATTATTTTTTTTATATTAAATGTGTGGGTATATTCCATTTTCAGTTGATTGAATTTGATTTCAGGTTTCCCCCTTTTCTGATTTTTCGCGCTACTCAGGGATCTCAGTAGGGTCAGAATTGCACGAGTCAAAGACTCTTTGGCCAAAATTTTCATGAGTCAAATAATTTTTTTCTAGTGTCATTTGACTACAAGAATCATTTTTATACAAAAATTACTGTATAGGAGGTCATTTTGTGTAGATTCTCAAGTCTAAATTAATAATATTTAACATGGAAAACATGCCTAGTTATAATGTATATATACCCCAAAAAAAACCCCAAAAAACAACAACAAAAAAAACAAACAAATAAAAAAAATGAAATGCATCTTTACTGTGAGAGAATCAAATAAGCAGCAGCTTTTCTGATTAAATGTATATAATATAAAAGAATATCTTTACTGGTATATCATATTTATTTTAGATACCAAAATGCACAAGGAATATTTAATGGACAAAGAAATAACAAATGTACAGGCACTTCAAGTAAAGAAGTATTATAAACCTTTGAAAGCAATCAATAATTGACACCTCAAGTATGTAATTCTTATCAGTTGTGTAGAGCTATTTTTTAAATAGTGCTGTCATATTGCATCCAATGATGTCGCGCTTCAGTGCACATGCTATAAACAATGCTGTGTATTACACACGGTAAAATTTATTTGAGTGTGATTTGAACATATGTAGGATTTGATAGGTAATTAGGGGTGGATTTAAGGTAATTATTATTGCATAGCTGAAATCCCACATGGCAAATTGACTCTTGTGCAGATTTTATCACGTGTCAAATTTGTGCATTTCCTGATATTCAAGAGTCAAAACCCGGATCCCCGTTGTTGATAGAGAGTCTGGGGCCACTATATTTTCCCCTTCAGAAAGCCACAGGTTGTTTTGAAATTAGAAAAAAAACTCTTCATTATTTTAGAGCAATTTTTATTTAGTAAGTTATAAACAAGTCAGTTTAAAGGCCATAAATTTAGACATAAGGCAAAATCTTGTGATAGTTTGATATATGTTGGGAAACAAGACCACCACATAATTGACATGACAGCACCAGGTAAAAGTCATTGTGCCTGGGAGGGGTTTGGGCAGAAATTTATCAACTGAATTTTAGCAATTACCACCAATTGCAATAAATACTGAAACAATGAAACTTTCATTATTGTAATATGTTACCTCTATTTTATTTTATTTCTGTGTAGGTTATGTTGACAGACAAATAGTTACAGAAGTAAAATCCAAAAAGAAAATTCAACGAGATGAACCTGTTTTGAACAAAACTAAGGTTTGTACTTTAAAATTAACAAATTTTGGCACAAATATTCAAAGGATATCTGATAATTGGGTTCGATTTTTCACCATAGTGTCTGATTGTTGATCAGCACTTGTTTGAGGTTTCAGGCTTACCCTTGTGCATTATAATTTGGACTGTTTCACAAGTGTTTAGGACCTAAAATTTTTATGTATCTCATTCATTAATTTTGGGATTTATACCTTTACTTCCCTTGTACTGAAAATAATTATGGAAATATGAGTATACATGTACTTCTAAGCTGTATATTAACTTGTATATGAGCCGTGTCACGATAAAAACCAACATAATGGGTTTGCGACCAGCATGGATCCAGACCAGCCTGCGCAGTCTGATCAGGATCCATGCTGTTCGCTTACCAACCCTTTTACAAATAGAGAAACTGATAGCGAACAGCATGGATCCAGATCAGACTGCACGGATGCAGAGGCTGGTCTGGATCAATGCTGGTCGCAAACCCATTATGTTGGTTTTGTTGTGACACGGCTCATATCTTTCATCTTTCAAGGTGCCATGTGATGTATGTGGTCGCATGTACAAAAAACGTGACTTGAAGCAACATAAGAGAATACATGCTGAGAAGAAAGAGTTTACATGTGAAATATGTCAAATGGTAAGAATAGTAGGTTTAGCAAACCCCAGTGTGCATGTGATTTTGTAACTATGTTTTTATTCTGTTTTCTTAGGGTTGTTCTGAATGTTTTTTAGTTTTAAGAAAAAACAAGCATGTACAAAAGTGGGGGGTGTGAATAAGCAAGTCTGCTGGTATTAATTATCTTCTGGGGTTTGCTTAGCTAGATATGTTCTGAATGTTTGATTCTCATACTTATCTTTAATAGAGAATGGAGTATCCTGTGCCTAGGCACTGATTTGGTGACTTAAACTGCATAATAAAGATTGGCACATAATAACATCTTTTTATTGAAATGACAGACTGTTTAAATTCAACTCCAAAATAGATATTGATAATAACTGGATAAAACATATAAAGAAAATCTGAGTTTATTAAGATTGTAACAATGATAAATTATTGTTGGTTTTCCAAGCTTAATGTCAATCATTATAAGTTTTCCCCCAGTTTAATGTCAATTATTATGATTTGTCCCAGCTTAATGTCAATAATTACGAGCTTTTTTCCAGGTTATATCATTTGCACCAAATCCTATTCCAATAATTTCATGGTTAATGTCACTATAGAAGACTTCTATAGCATGTAAGATGATGCCAGTGTCAAATAACACCTTTATTGTTTAAATGTTGCACTTTTACCTATTTAAATAATTTTTAAACAACATCAGTGTCTATTCTAGGAGGGGGGATGGGGGGATTTGCTCCTATTTTTGAGAATTTCCCTCTATTTTTTTCAGAGGCAGGGGGGAAATTTTACGTAGAGAAAGAAGGAAAAAAATCAACAAATGTAATAAATTCTCACTTTTCGATAAAATTAAAAATCCCCCCTGTTTTTCAAATCCTAGAATAAACACTGCAACATTATTTTGTATATCAGTTAACTTGACCATGTATTCTAAAGATTGAGAGTTAAAGGCCCATTGTGCCCCTGAATTGCTATATTTAGATATATATATCATTTTCATTTCTTAAAATCTTTTTGTTTTTGGTATCTTGTTTAAGTATCCAATAACATACTCATTTGCTGTAAAAAGAACTCTTTTGCTTCTTTAGCTATATTGGTATTTGGTATAATTATAGTGAATTACAATGTAGTACTTTGTATGGAAGTCAAATACTACCTTGTTAATATTTTGCTACTTTAACAACACATAACTGCATGTTTAGAGCTTTGCTTCAGTTGTTAAATATATAATATGCTCTTAATGCATTATTTTACCATTATTAAGCACATGTGTGACATTTCTAAAGAATTGAAAATATGGATTTGTGAGGCATAATGTGCCTTTAAATATTTTGATATTATAAATAGTTTATTAATATAGTTAGCAAAAATTTCTATCATAGGTATTCAGGACAGCAAGCTGTTTATACGGTCATAGATTACATCATAACACTGAGAAAGGTCATATTTGTCAGTATTGTGGTAAGCAGTTTAACAACATGCCAAATCTTCGTCAGCACATCAGATCACATACAAGTGAGAGAACTTTACAGTGTCCACTTTGTCCAAAGATGTTCAGAAGTAATTATGTACTGAAAGACCATATATCAAGACATTCTGGTCAGTAATTTAAAATACTGTAAGTTTTAAAATGTATTAAACTTGACATAATATGAAACTTTGGATTTCAAATTTAAGGGGTATGGTTAAGTTAACCTGAACTTCAGACACGATCTAGGTTTCTTTTTTACATTTGAGCCTCGTCATGACAAAACCAACATAATGGGTTTGCAACCAGCATGGATCCAGACCAGCCTGCGCATCCGTGCAGTCTGATCAGGATCCATGCTGTTCGCTATCAGTTTCTTCACTTGTTATAGGGTCTGTAAGCGAACAGCATGGATCCTGATCAGACTGCGCGGATGCACAGGCTGGTCTGTATTCATGCTGGTCGAAAACCCATTATGTTTGTTTTGTCATGACGCAGCTCATTTTTATTTTATTTTGTATAGATTCAAACATGCATTGTAAATATTTTTTAAGTTACACAGGAAAGTGTAAGTTGTCACATAAGTGGTTCTATTTGCACCATATCTAGATATATGTTTCAAACTGAGGAAGTGAACTTCCTGTACATGTATATCATAATATCCTGCAGGACTTGCGTGTGTTTGCATGCACTAATGATGATATAAATAAATTTTCTAGTGTTTGCACTTGAAGTATGGTGTAATGAATGAAATATCCATTTGCACAGAACTAAAAGAAAAAAAGTACTAAATGAAAGTAAAAGTTTCCATAATGTTTTTTCACATAAAGAATGATTTGTAATAAGCAAAAAAAACCGGCACTTTAGTCGCAGGTTTAGATTATATCCAGCTGAAGTGGTTTTAAAACTATTGTGCAATAAGTAGGTACAAGAGTGTTACATCCTTTATAGTGAAGTGGTCTACAATTGACACACTACAAAATGAAAGAAAACAGAAAGTGTATAATTTTGATTTTCTTTTAAAACATTTCTTGATCAATAATGTTGATAATGATACAAGTACATGAAATATAGTACGAACATTTATATTTTAAATACATCCATAAACACTTATGATATGAACTTAGTAAATAACCGAGGTATATCAAGTGAAAAAATACGAGTTGTTTCTTTTGTCATCGAGTAAAATTGATACAATGTATCTTTTATGCTAAAACAATAGAAATTAAATCATTTTTAAATTGCTAGTTTGTTGTGATTTAATGTCTGATTTTAAAATATATTACACAAATGGGTGGCTTTGGATTTTAGTTTCAGTTGTAATTATAGTTCAACACATCTTATGACACCAAAATTGTTAATTAACTGTTAAACTTTCCATATGTGAAACCATTTAGATACGATATATATAGTGAGATACCCAACCAGTTATCTTTACTCTTAAAACCACTGAAAAGAATAGCCTGTTGTCTGTTTGTTCTGAAAGTGTTTATCGGTAATATTTAGTTCTGGAACAATATGTTGTCAGCTTAATATAGATATTTCATATCAGATCATACAGTGTATATCTCATACTTATGCTGCATGTGATACTAAATACTGTCAACATAATAATCTATGTCTGTGGCATATTTTAAAGCTACTATCCCACACATTGTAGTGTATGCATTTTTGAAATGAAATGTCATGAAGAAATAAATTTTCACCACAGGCTTGTACATTTATATGGAACTAGATGATTAATGCATGTCTTGATGGACAAAAAAATCATCTTAGTAAAGTTTTTGCAATGTTTATCTTGCTGAGATTTTAAACCTTTGCAACATTTTATTTTGTAAATATTGACTTAAATTACAAACACACCCATTAACTGGTTGCAAGTAGATCCATTGGTTGCGAGTAGAACACTTGTTCGCTTGGTTAGTTTTTATCCTGAAAACGATTGCTGCACAATATATCATAGAAATCATATGTCTATTAGAAAAAAAGACAAAAAAAGAAGAACATGTCTCAGTAATCAGGTTTAAAACTGAACTTTAGTTCTAACTGCATCAAGCTGTCCTACACGCTACATGTTCACGGGTGTGATAATAGCTATTATAGGGGTGTTATTATCTGTGTCAAAGTGAAACACGACCACTGTTAGGTCACATTTATTTTTTAGTGGTTTTGATATTGGAAGTAATAATACAAAGGCGTTGTGTAGGTTCGTACAAAATCTCAAATAGTAATATATATAAAACAATAACAACATTTGTCAGAAGTGACGTTGACATGAAACAGTGCGGTAAGACGTAACGTAGATAATAGCGTGAATATATGTACTTATCTTTTGTAGGCTATATGCATTGTGTACATAATTATATTAATGGATTATGTGTTTAGTAAACTCTCAGTATTAGGACTGTATACCTTCTCTGGCATGCTTTTATGACCAAATGTTTTGTCTTGAATTCCAGTGTATCAGTAAACTATTTAAATATTTTGCCAGTAACATGAGTTTATGTACATGTTTGTATTTCTTTTACAGGTGAGAAACCATACATCTGTTCAGTTTGCAATCGCTCGTTTAAAAAGGCACAGGAATTAAAGCGCCATACCATGACCTTTCATTCGGAAGCACGTGAGCACGTCTGCAACATTTGTCAGAGAAGGTTCAAGTCAAAAAGCAATCGTGTAAAACATGAGAAAACACATGACAAGAAAGGAAAATCTTAACATATTTTAAGCTTCAAGTCATTTGAATTTTCGCTCATCTGAGCACAAGTGCTCAGAGGTGAGATATTGTGATGGCAAGGTGTCTGTTGTTAAGCATGATCCACAATTTTTTTCAACAACACATCCTCCCACCTAAACCACATGATAGATTTTGAACAAACTTCACATCAATGATCCTTATGTGGCCCTCTAAAATTTGTTTAAAATTGAAGCCAGTCTGATGCATAAGAAAGTCACTTAACCTAAAAAAGGCTTTAGAACTGTTTTTTTTTTAAATCATCTAGGAAACCACGTTTACCCCGAGCTTACATATTTCACAAGTGTAATTGCCATGTGATCTTCTAAAAAAGATATATAAATCTTTGCCCATGTAGTCAATATTGAACTTACCACACTGGTCACTTTTTTCATGAAGACTTATAAACATGTACATGCAGTTAAACACAATTAAAAAATTCTTGTGAGAAGAACTAAGATATTTGCCATGTAGCATTTCCTAACAAAATCTACGTAACTTAATGGTTAATAAATTATTTAGCCTAGGTTGAAACACACATCCAATGATTCCTTATTACTCACTTTTGTATTAAAGAATTGTGACATTATCTGGCAATCTGTGGTGAGGCCATCATGAACCTCCTGTTAAATAACAACACCAGAAAACACTATAATAAAAGGTTTATTCATTGTTGGGTGCATATATGTAAAATGTGAAGCTGTTTCTTTTCTACACTTTTTCCATCAAGTTTGAAAGTTTTAAAACAGAAATAACTTTATTGGATGTTTTCTGCTACTTTGGTCTTTACTTGTTTCTCATGATAATTTAGAAAGTCTTGATCCTTTGACGCTAGAACTTCCTTAACATTTGTGTTTCTTTTATTAAATACTGCGAACGTATTTGCTGTTGCTATTTACCCCAAATATCAGATATTTGATTTCTTGTTTTTCTGTTCCAGTTTTCAGGCATTTGTAGGTAATATACTTAGTGGTTTGGTTTTTTATGTGTTAAAAAAACAATTTGCGTATTATGCCCTGCATGGCCACATTCATGGCATTTGTCAGTGCTTTTTAGTCATTATTGCCATTATATTATGTCAATGTGCTCTATTTTAAGGTCCACAGAATTAAGAATATGTGAGAGAAAAAACTGTGAGAAAAAAAACGGAGTTTTTTTTCCTGCTCTCCGTTGATATAGTAAAGGCTCAAGTAGAATAGGGGACGCTCAACTTTTCTATTACTGAAAGAAGTTCTTTCGCAATGTTTTGGGGTGCTAATCGTTTCCTTGTCTTGTTTTTTTAGCTCACCTGTCACAAAGTGACAGGGTGAGCTTTTGTGATCGCTTTTCGTCCGGCGTCCGTCCGTCCGTCCGTCCGTCCGGCGTCCGTCGTCCGTCCGTAAACTTTTGCTTTAAAAGACATCTCCTCATAAACCACTGAGCCAATTTCATCCAAACTTCACAGGAATGTTCCTTTGGTGGTCACCTTTAAAAATTGTTCAAAGAATTTAATTCCATGCAGAACTCTGGTTGCCATGGCAACCGAAAGAAAAATGTTTAAATATCTTTTTTTAAACAACCCTAAGAGTTAGAGCTTAGATATTTGGCATGAAACATCTTCTAATGAGTGTCTACCAAGTTTGTTTAAATAAAAGTCCTGGGGTCAAAATTGGCCCCGCCCCGGGGGGTCATTGATTTTCCCTATATGCATATAGTAAAAACTTAAAAAATCTTCTTTTAAAGAACTGTAAGAGCTAGAGCTATGATATTTGGCATGGAACATCTTCTAGTGAGTGTCTACCAAGTTTGTTCAAATAAAAGCCCTGGGGTCAAAATTGGCCCCGCCCCAGGGGGTCATTGATTTTCCCTATATGCATATAGTAAACACTTAAAAAATCTTCTTTTAAAGAACTGTAAAGAGCTAGAGCTTAGATATTTGGCATGAAACAATCTTCTGGTGATTGTCTACCAAGATTGTTCAAATAAAAGCCCTGGGGTCCAAATTGGCCCCGTCCCAGGGGGTCATTGATTTTCCCTATATGCATAAAGTAAAAACTTAAAAAATCTTCTTTTAAAGAACTGTAAGAGCTAGAGCTAAGATATTTGGCATGAAACATCTTCTTGTGAATGTCTACCAAGTTTGTTCAAATAAAAGCCCTGGGGTCCAAATTGGCCCCGCCCCGTGGGTCATTGATTTTCCCTATATGCATATAGTAAAAACTTAAAAATCTTCTTTTAAAGAATCGTAAGAGCTAGAGCTTAGATATTTGGCATGAAACATCTTTTAGTGAATTTCTACCAAGTTTGTTCAAATAAAAGCCCTGGGGTCAAAATTGGCCCCACACCAGGGGGTCATTGATATTCCTTATATGCATATAGTAAAAACTTATAAAATCTTCTTTTAAAGAACCCAAAGAGCTAGAGCTAAGATATTTGGCATGAAACATCTTCTAATGGGTGTCTACCAAGTTTGTTCAAATAAAAGCCCTGGGGTCCAAATTGGCCCCGCCCCAGGGGGTCATTGATTTTCCCTATATGCATAAAGTAAAAACTTAAAAAATCTTCTTTTAAAGAACTGTAAGAGCAAGAGCTAAGATATTTGGCATGAAACATCTTCTATTGAATGTCTACCAAGTTTGTTCAAATAAAAGCCCTGGGGTCAAAATTGGCCCCGCCCCAGGGGGTCATTGATTTTCCCTATATGCATATAGTAAAAACTTAAAAAATGTTCTTTTAAAGAATCGTAAGAGCTAAAGCTTAGATATTTGGCATGAAACATCTTCTAGTGAATGTCTACCAAGTTTGTTCAAATAAAAGCCCTGGGGTCCAAATTGGCCCCGCCCCAGGGGGTCATTGATATTCCTTATATGCATATAGTAAAAACTTAAAAAATCTTCTTTTAAAGAATCGTAAGAGCTAGAGCTTAGATATTTGGCATGAAACATCTTCTAGTGAATGTCTACCAAGTTTGTTCAAATAAAAGCCCTGTGGTCAAAATTGGCCCCGCCCCAGGGGGTCATTGATATTCCTTATATGCATATAGTAAAAACTTATAAAATCTTCTTTTAAAGAACCCAAAGAGCTAGAGCTAAGATATTTAGCATGAGACATGTTCTAATGGGTGTCTACCAAGTTTGTTCAAATAAAAGCCCTGGGGTCAAAACTGGCCCCGCACCGGGGATCATTGATTTTCCTTATATACATAGCAAAAACTTAAAAATCTTCTTTGAAAAAACCTAAATAACTAGAGTTTAGATATTAAGCATGAAACATCTTTAAGTAAATATCTACAAAGTTTGTTCAAATAAAAGCCCAGGGGTCAAAACTGGCCCTGCCCGAGGGGTGTCATTGTTTTTAACTATATGTGTATAGTAAAAACTTAAAAAATCTTCTTTTAAAAAACCCAATGAGCTAGAACTTAGATGTTTTGCATGAAACAACTTCCTATGGGTGTCTACCAAGTCTGTTCAAATAAACAAATAAAAGCCCTTGGGTAAAAAATTGGGCCGCCGGGGGGGGGGGGGGGGTGGTCTATATACAGGTGAGCGACCTCAGGGCCATCATGGCCCTCTTGTTTATTTGCTTGATAGTTTTGACACTGTTTCAAATCCCTCGATAAATTTATTAAATCATCTATCATTCTGTAGTAAACTTCACGTGGGATACTGTTTTGTGCACAAGATTTTATGTTTTCCACAAACTTTGGGTTGTTCTTACATAAATCGTTTCATTTATTTAGGATCTCCCATGTGATGCATCATAATTGACCATGATGCCTGAATATTCAAACACAGCAACCTCTTTTGTTTGAAAATGTTCTGGACAGTTTTCTAACCAGGACACCCTCCTCTTGTTTTCCGGATTTCTTTTCAGTGATGTATAGTAATGATGCAAGTTTACCATATCATTGGAAATTGGCTGAGAGTTAAGAATTTTTAGCATATTGTCCCTCTTTCTTTGACTCCTTTATGCAATTTAAGAGACTTTTGATGGTTGTGTTTGGTCTTTGCAGTATACATTGGTCTTTGTTGGTGTGTATGAAAATAATAGTTATGGTTTTTCTTAAGTCCACTTCATTTAAATAAAAGCCTGGGTCCTTGGGAGCCATCACAGGGCTTTGATATCTATATTTGAACGGGCACTTCACTTCGAGAATCGCCATCCCACAGCACGAGCACTCTACATGTCCATACCGGCTTGCACCCAGATACGGCATATTTTCACAAATCAAAAGTCCACATTCACTGACTTTAAAATTGTCATGTGCCTTACACAATGTTGATGAGTATTCTGTTTACCATCAAAATTAAACATTAAAAGCCCCAAATAATAGGAGGCTCTCCTGTTTCTTTCCATACCTTGTACACAGTAGTGGTAACAAAACATTTTCCGGGGCAGAATGTTCTGCCTACACTGACAACACCAGCCTTGGATTTTACAATAACTTGTTCTTCGGTGTTACAGATTATTAAGGGTAGTTTGTTGTCCCTGGAATTAATGATTTCCCCAACGAAAGGATATTTATCGCATAATTTATTTATTTGTAATTTATTTTTCTTGTAAATGAAAATAAAGTACCACTTAGTAAAGGATAAAGAATATACATAAAAATTAGGCTTAGTGACTACATGTATTATCACCCAATAAAGATATTTAAGCTTAATCATCAATGTCATTTTAAACCTGAAGACATTAATTTTAATGCTCCCCGAAAAATTTCGGAGAGTATATAGTCACTGCCTTGTCCTTCCGTCTGTCCGTATGAACCCAGAGGTACTTGTGTGACTGCGGGTAACCGTAAATTCTCTTTGATCTTATTCATTCTGTTTTACTTGTGTGTCTTTTTTAAGCCTTGTGTGACTAAAAATGGCCAAAAAGATTCAAGGAAAAGTCACATAAGTACCATTTTGCGAGTACATCAGTACGTCCGTCTGCTTTTCTTATCCAGGACATAACTTTGAAACAACTAGAGGTATCATTATGAAACTTTGTAGGTAGAAAGTTCTCATTGAGTTGATGTATAGTGCAGGAGTACGGTAACTCTGTCTTGCCTAATTTTTGAATTATTTCCCTTTAATTATTTTTTACACTTTGAACTTTGTCCAGGACATAACTCTTAAAGTAGAAGAGGTTTCAGCATGAAACTTTGTAAGTAGATAGATCTCATTGAGAGGGTGTGCAGTGCACAAGAACAGTAACTCTGCCTTGCCTAATTTTTGAATAATTCCCCTTTAATTATTTTTACACTTTGAACTTTGCCCTGGACATAACTCTAAAACTATAATAGTTATCATCATGAAAATTTGTAGGTAGATAGATCTCATTAAGTAGGTTCTCATTAAGTGAACTTTGTCCAGGACATTACTTTAAAATTATAAGAGATATCAACATGAAACTTTGTAGATAGATAGGTCTCATTGGGTAGAAGTGCAGTGCTGAAGAATCATAACTCTGCCTTGCCTTATTTTGAAGTTATTGCCCTTTGTTTATTTTTACTTTTTGACTTTTGTCCGGGACATAACTCTAAAACTATAAGAGATACCAACATGAAACTTTTAGGTAGATAAATGTAATTGGAAAGAACTGCAATGCTTAAAGAACCTAAACACAGCATTGTCTTATTTTGGGGTTTTTGCCCTTTGTTCATTTTTTTTATACTTTCCTTTGTCCAAAACCTTCTCGGGGAGTATCACCCGGTTCAACCAGTTCTTGTTGTGTTGAGGGCAGCACTATGAAGTTCTTGCATGTCTGGTATGTGCTCAGTGAGATCCGTCTTGCTCTGTTTGGATTGGCCAATTCTTGTATATCATGACAATTTTCCCATCCTTTTCCTTTAATACAAATTGATGAGGAGCTGAAATCCCCGAAATCAAACCTCTTCAATGCTCCAGCTTTTCTTTGTATTCATATATTCCAGTTCAGCTGGATACTACTTGAGCAGGAGTGGTGCTGTCTCTGATGGCATTGTGCAAATCTGGCAATGTCGGGGCATCAACATGTGATTGATGGGTGCTTATCTTACTAAAAACTTGATCTATATCTTCATGGGTATGACCCACCATCAGGAATCCTAATTTCACCTGTAAATAGAAATTTGATAAATTTTATAACTTGAAAATCGTTAAATGTAAAATACAAATAAAAACAATTACTCATAACAAGCACATTTATTACTCATTATGGTTGTATAATATATATTATAACATATAAATATATATGCTTATATATTGTATTATTATTATATATTATACATTATGGTTGTATAATATATATAATAACATAGATATATAATATATATCCAACATATTCATTAAGTAGGTTTGCAGTGCACAAGAACAGTCACTCTGTCTTGCCTAATTTTGGAGTTATTGCCCTTTGTTCTTTTTGATACTTTGAACTTTGTCCTGGACATTACTTTATGATTATAAGAGATATCAACATGAATCTTTGTAGATTGATAGGCCTCATTAGGTAGAAGCGCAGTGCTAAAGAATTATAACTCTGCCTTGTCTAATTTTGAAGTTATTGCCCTTTGTTTATTTTTACTTTTTGACTTTTTCCTGGACATAACTCTACAACTATTAGAGATACCAACATGAAACTTTGTAGGTAGATTGATATCATTATGCTTAAAGATCCTAAACAAAGCCTTGTTTAATTTTGGGGTTATTGCCCTTTGTTCATTTTTACACTTTGAATTTTACCTGGAACGTCCGTGGTCGAGTGGTTAAGGTTGTTGCCTTCAAACCACTTGCCCCTCACCGCTATGGGTTCGAATCCTGCCAGGGACTTTGGAATCTTTCATGTGAGGAAGCTATCCAGCTAGTTTTCGAAACGTCGGTGGTTTAGGTTCGTGCCTGAAATAATGCACGGAAGGTCACCTGAGGTTTTTCTCCAACAGTAAAGCTGGAACG